TATACCAAACCTGGATCGCAGTCTGTGTAACAATATCTTATGATCGACGGTGTCGAAGGCTGCTGATAGGTCTAGCAGCAAGAGAACGACGCATTGTTTATCATCGATTGATTTCAGTATATCATTTTGAACTCGTAGAAGCGCTGTCTCACAAGTGTGGTGTTTCTTATAAGCAGACTGGAGACTTTCATTCAGGTCGTTATCACACAAATAATTCGTCAGACGCATGGCTGCAACTTTTTCAATAACTTTAGACAAAAACTTCAGATTAGATACAGGTCGAAAGTTAGAAAAGATTTCAAAGTCTAGGGACGGTTTCTTCAGTAGAGGAGACAACACTGCATTCTTCATGGAAATTGGCATTGAAGCTGAATTGAATGAGAGGTTTACGACGACTATTTTCTCTCAATGGGACGACTATTTTCTCTCAATGGGAATGATCTTTCTTTGATCCACCTAATCCTACTTAAACAAGAAAGGGGATGACAGCATAATGATTGTGATTATTGGCTATTCCTTTCAAACACTTTCTAAGCATCTTCCTATATGAAATCTGCACCATTAAATATCGCCATGAACTCACTTACATGGTGCAGGATATTTAAAGGCTTGGGACAAAATCATACATCCAGGACCTGGAAGCTTAGTTCCATGGATAGTGGAAATCAATCTGAAATACAAAAATGTGGACGTATTACCATGCATAAAACAGACTGATAAACATTAGTAAAGTGATACAAGTAATACAGTTACATCATAGCTCAACTGACAGACAACCCATAACAGCAACTTAATTGATCAATCAGGTCATCAATAACCAGAGAACCAAGAAATGACAAATATATACAACTCACTTTGACTCTGAAGATGACCACTGCAAAAGTTGTCAAAACCTCAGTCACCGTCAACATTACAGTGCTTACCAGGACCACACTACTACCAAGATGATCAAATTCCGCCTACTTATTATAGTCACAAAATTTAGCGAATACAAATGAGAAAGGGGATGGTACTTAGTACAAAAATGTTAGCCATCAACCCAGGGTAGGGGAAACTTATGCCGATCAAATATCAGTATGTAGCCAAACTCTTGCCCAAGGGTAACACACAAAATAAGGGAAGTAACTTTGTGATGCATAACACCTTGTGCCATTGAGGATAAAATTCGGTATTTTCCAGAAACTCAATTTCAGGTTTCTCAGGAAGGAAACGCCTTCAGGACATTGCAAATCCATTTTCTTCATAGAAAAAGATGAGACTGATTTGTAATTCTGTTTTTCTTAGCCTTTTGTCTCGCCCTTAATACATACATCTGTGGGTGATGTCTTGGTTAAAGATAAAATGAATTCACTATTAAGCAATACTTGAGGGTCAAAATCTCGGTAAACTTGCACAAAAAGCAGATGAAAAAGGCTAAAATTCCATTTACCCATTTAGTATAACGCCATGCACAATAGTCCTTCCAAAGCGAGTCTTCTTGGCAAAGTTTTCGTCGAGATGAATGGGGTTCACATCACCTGTTAGCTCCGCAAAGTTTCGAACATCTTCGACAGAAACAACTTGCCGAAGTTCTGCTTCGTCTCCGACATTAAATAATTTCGAACTGTTACTTGCAAGATATCTGACTGATGTAACAAAACAAGTCGGTACAAACCGCAGAGTTCTTACTCTGGCATTTGCCATATCGACTGCACGAATGCTCCAGGCGTTAATTGCGTGACCGCTTTACTACTGGCACTACTGGTTTCCAGAGTAGTACTTGGTGTAAGACTTCCCAAAATGTCCCGAGGTTGCTGTTCAGCAGTGGCTCGGGACATTTGGGGCAGTCTTACACCAAGTAGTACACGGTTGGCACGTGCTTTCCAAACGAGAACGCCTGGAAGAAAACGCGCAAATTTGGAGACCGTGTTCACTTTTTGACTTGTTTACGAGCGGTATTGTAACAATAATGGCTCCAACAGAAGCGTTTCATGATTTAGAATTTGCTATGTTAGAAAGAAATGAAGGAAAGGTTGTTTCTTCAATCGAAGCTCTACAAAAAGATAGTATTCACTCAGGTGAGTAATGCTTGAAAACATATGTTTTTGTTCTCCTCAAGTTTCGGACGTTCCAGTTATAATATTCCGATCCCCATAGCTAGTAGTAATATAGTGGTTACCGGGTCGTATCTTTTTGTTTTGATAATTTATGACCTTTCCAGAATGTCTGTTTACATGTAAAAAACTATCACTTCTGCAGCTGTTTGCCTTACCACAACTTTTCTGAGTAAATTCTCAAGTCTAAATACAGCTGTACATGAAGTAAATTACAGGTAAACAGAATTTTAATCACTTGACCTATCTTATAGATATAATAGAAGAACTGGAGGCCACAGTTATTTGCCTGTGCAGTAGAGACTATGTAGCAGCATTACAGTTAAAAACATCCCAACAGATATTTAATACAGTGTGTACAGCTGCAGGTCAGTTTATGATTGTTACAAATTTTGATAAATGCAAAGACCTCAGGTGGGTGACTGTTGTTGCCCACATAAACTGGATGGAGAGGGTTGGGTGTCCTGTGCTGGGGATTGAAGGCTTCCATGTGAAAGGGGTGGCAATGCTTGTTGTGTTGCACATGTTATAAATGGAGTATGCAAAATTAATTTCGTCTCACTTTGGGTGTTCAGGCCAGGATGCCAAAATTTTTACCCCTGCAGTTATCAATCAGGGCCACATGTAAAGGGAATAAACAAATTTAAAAAAAAATGAGAGAGAGAGACAGAAAGAGGGAAAACATTTGATGAAATGTCTTCATGTCTATAGTTCATGTTATTTGCAGGGTGCAAAGAAAATCATTTTTACAGCTTGCCATTCGGGCTGAAGCTAGCATTTACTAGCCCAGATGTCATTTCAACAAGCCCCAAAAACTTTTTGACTAGCAGAATTGATTTCACAGTTCTTCTGTTATTTGAATTCCTAAAAAAACATCACTTGCCCATCAGGGAAAGTTAAAAACAGAATTCACTAGCCCAATAACAAAATCCACTAGCCCCAGGCTGTCGGACACTACTTTCTTTGCACGCTGTATGAGGTTGTCTGTTTTCCAGCTAGACTCCCCACCCCGTTTAAATAATTTAGTGTAGAGTCCTTCCTTGGAACTGATTGTATGACTTTGTTTTTTCCAATTTTTATTTCAGATGTTGATCAAATAATTAACGAAATTTCTTTGTTGTTAAAATGTCAGGAGAGTACTGAAGTACAACTCAGGTAAGTGTACTTGTACAAAACACATGCACAGCATGAGACAAGATAAAGGAAATAATAATTATTGATTCATTTATCACTGTGTTTGGCTTAACTGGTAGCTAATTCTTACTTTCTTATAGTTACTTCTATACAGTACACTCTAGGTAGAGAGAGTTCTGATTTGAGGGATAATTGTTTAAATGATAATTATTTCACGTTTTTGTGCCGTAGACATGTCCTGATTCTTTTCATCGGAGTTGCTTGCTTGGAACTCTTTATTCAGTGTAACTGGACAGGTCCTAAGCCAAGTTTGGATCCTCTTCTTGCTAACAATGGGCAAGCTAACCAGCAATTACTGGCAACACTGAGTCAAGATGGGCAGGTGTGTATACCATGACAATTCCTAAAACTCAGACCAGATCAACACCTGCATTCCTTACCCTATTTTTTTGGAGTGTTGATCTGAGAAATTTGAACCTGCTTTTCCTCTCTTACAGAACAAAAGGGTTTTTTTATGGTGGAATGGTATGCTATCAGGATAAAGAAAGGGCATGATCTAAAATTGTCCCCTTTTTGGTTTACAAGCAAAGAAAGTGTAAAGTGGAAGGACAAATTGTCAGTCTAGCAGAGGGAACTGAAGTTTTTTGGGTCTATTATAGGCAGTTTAATTACAGGCTCAAGTGAAGTCACTGCAGACATTAATTTTTCTTTTTTTCTGACTTTTCATACTACTAATTGACAACAATAAAACTGCAGATAAAGTCTAATCAATACAATACTGGTTATTCTTTCTGCAATTTATTAATTTTTTAAACAACAATTTTTGTTGCAGCCAATTACTAATCCTCTGATGGATGGTCAATTGTTTCTTCTTGTTGCCAAAGTTATATTAGTTGAATTTCAGGAAAACTTTACTGAATGTCAGGTAAAGTTATTAACAATCTAAAGTGCATAACCTTATTTTGACCAGGTCTAAGAAAACTGCCGATACTTTGTGACACCACCAATGGTTTCACCATTCAATGACATCTGACGATCAAGTGCAGAAATTCCACTTTCATGACATGTCACTTACCTGATCTTGGTACTGACACGACATTGGTGTGGAATTTCTGCACTTAATTTGTTTCTCAGAAGTCATATTTTTGCGGGGAAACCATTGGTGGCATTGCAATATGTCAGCTGTTTTCAAAGCTAATGTTGACCTTATATAAATGATAAAATCAAACGTCTTTAAGTTTTCAGTTTAATTTCAGTTCCCTTTTTTGTTTCCGTCAGAGTACCTTATATTCTTTGTTTGTGCAGGTTTTAGACTGAACACCAAAAAGATTCATTACCATTTTGCAGTTTACACTTGTTTATAGAAGTAACATGCAAATAAAATTGAAGAGGTCAAATTATATTCCTTGTCCTTTCCTTTGCAGACTGCTTGCCTCTGGACGTTGCGATGTCTGGCAGTTCTTAGACAACTCTCAACTGAAAAAAATGAGGCAACAAAAAACACAATTTTTAGTTTAATGGAGAAAGGTTGGTTTCTTTTAAAACTTTTAGAATTAATTAAGTACATTGGTAACTACTATTAAGTAAACTTAGATTCATGATTATTATATCAATTTTGTGCCATTAATTATTATTATATTTATCTGATCTCTGAGTATAGAGATTATGGTTTATTTTCATCCCTGTAAACTTGAAGAATTCCAGTATATGTAAGCAAGAATGTCACCTTAGTGTTACATATTCATTCATTATTTTCTTGTTATTATTGTTTTCTCTGCAGTTGAAGAAAAAAAACTTTTACTCTCTTATGGAAAGAACAGGTGTGTAGAAGAGGATCTTTTCTTTAATAATTTATTTACATGTATTATTCACATTGATTGTGTGGTAAAATGAATTAATATTTGCACGTGACTCCCATGAGGATTGCTTTAGCCAAGTGTGATCTTGCTTTTGTGATATATTATTCTGTTGGTTTGGTATCCACAGTTGCCTAGCAACAAAGCAGTGAGTAAACAAACCACCACAAACCTTGCTGGGTTGATTTAGCGGCTGCTTTAGAGGTTAAGAAATGGTCATTAGCAATGAATTTTGAAAGCAGAAGTACTTGAAAGAGAAAATGGAACCATTAGCTTTAAAATACTGAGCAAAAATCGAGGTAGGAAAACATGTTTTGCATCCCATTTCGCAGACGAGTTACCGCATCAGCTGTAATGGGCATATGTTGTTTAAATGCTATGAAATGTGTTTAAAGTTGGGTTTTTACTGTCAAAGCACTGGCCATTTTACTAAAGATATCTTTGAATTTGTGTTCAATACAGCGCTTGTCAGTGGAAGTTCTATGGGAAAGGCTTTAAGTAAAATATTAGTGACAAATTGGTTGTTCATCCTTAAGTGGCATAGCGTTAATGAATTTCCCAACGAACAAGATGTGCGGGGTTTGATTCCTGGAAGAACTTTCTTTCTTTTTGCCCTTCCTTTCCTTTCCTTTCCTTTCTTTCTTTCTTTTTTTTTGCCTGGGGAGGGGGGGGGGGGGGTGTTTTTGTTTTTTTTTTTTTTTTTTTTTTACTTTGTTTTTTTTTTTTTTTTTTTTTTTTTTTTCCCCCCTGGCCCTTTTCTTATTTTTTCCCTTTACCCATTTCTCCCCGAGCCTCGTGTTTGTACGTTTTTTTGGTTTTTTTTTGGCTTGGTTTATTTTTTATTACATTTTTGTTTTTTTTTGTTTACTGTTATTTTTTTGACTTAAAAATTGTTTTTTAAATTTTTGCATTCTGTTTTTTTTGTTTTTTTGGTTGGTCTGCGTCCCCGTCCCATTCCCTTCTCCTCCCCTCACTTCTCTTCTTTCGTTTAGTTGTGTGTTATTAGTGTCCCTCAGAGTTGGGTTGGGGTGTTTTTTTTTGTGTGTTTTTTTTTTTTTTTTTTTTCTTCTTTTTGTTTTTTTTTTTTTTTTTTTTTTTTTTTTTTTGGGGGGGGGGGGGGGGGGGGGGGTTGTTATTGTACTTTTGTTTTGTTTGTTTATACATCGTATATTTTTTATTTGTATATTTTCTTTTCCCCACTGGCCTCTTTCCTACTTTTTGCCATTAACCCATGCTACACGAGGCTCTGTGATGTACGTTTTTGTAGTTTTTTTTTGGACTGTGTTAATTGCTAATACAATATTGATTTCTTTAGCTTACCGGTATGTTTTTGACCTAAAAAGTTGTTTATAAAAGTTGGCCCATGAATTTGACCAACGATCACTGACAAAATGAGTTGACACACTTGGCTTCAACAACCTTTCCATTTTTGGCTACATAATATTATTATACGCTATTTACAAGAGGCAAGTTTTTCTCTCTCCCCCCAAACAATATTGTGCCATTGGTTGAAAAAAAAAAAAAGAGGAAACAACATACTTATCAGGGGTGGTGTGGGTAGAGGGCGGGGTCTTATGACAGGTATGTCGGCAATTTTGTTGCTAATTCTAAAGGTCTGTATAACCAACTTTTTTCCTTCCAAATTTTCAGTGATCTAGCTTAACATCTGGGACCAACACATGTTTCCTTGGTGTTTAATAATAGCTTGTTCTATTTTTTATTTCAGGTATCTATCAAGCCAGGTTCACCTTGAGTTAGCCTATTTGTACCTCTACTATTATGAATTTAAAAGAGCTAGGGTAATCAAAGTTTTTGTTGTTGATACTTGTTGATTATCTAAGAGAACTGATATTGAAAGAGCTTTAATTATTTCTTATTAAAGGTTTAAGTAGCGGTATATGTATTTGAGGGAGAAATAAACAATGATTTTAATTTTGAGCTTTTAATACTCCTTCTGTGGTGTTGATGATGCTTTGTAGTCCAGTCCAAAGAAATAAATTAAAGATGATGGTTTGAAAATCCCTGACTTAAGTGATACTAACTATGTTTGTAGTCCTGTTACTAAATAATACACAATATCTACAGGTATTATCAGTACTGGATTCTATGGTTCCAGAAAATATCCATGCAGTTCACCTCCAACTCCACATTTTACAGGGTGGCAGTGGTCTCTTTAAACATTTTTAAAAAAGCGTGTTCATTATTGTTCGCAGAATTTTTTTATTGGGGCAGAAGGGGGGCAGTTTGTGATCTGATTGTATAAATTATTTTTCTCTTAGTCATTCATAATTTACTGGCCAGTAATCAGCCCCAAAAGTGGGAAATGAAGCAGACTTTTGGCTCGTTAATTGGGAGTATTGATGAAGGTTTCCTTCTTATATTTCTCTCATTTGCTTTAGTAATGCTAATTATCAAATAAAAATACTAAATCTTACTGATTTTTTATCCCCCCGTTAATCCATAGGAGCATTTCAGTGCAGCACAGTCCAATTTAGGTTTGAAGGTTGAACTGTCAGGTAAAATTGTCAGCAGTCAAAATTTAAAAATATACAAAGATTACAGAGTATCAATAGGCCCTTTGCAGTTGTTATTCACATGTACATGTATTACAAAACCGCCTTGCTGGAGAGCAAGAGGGCATACTGTATTTTGCGGACTGGACTGGATTGTACTCGACTTGTAAAACGCGGACTAGTAAAACTCGGACTTGTAAAACGTGGACTAGTAAAACGCGGACTGGTAAAACGCGGACTTGTAAAACGCGGACTGGTAAAATGGGGACTAGTAAAACGCGGACTGGTAAAACATGGACTTGTAAAACAAGAAGAGAAGTACATACTTACAAAAGAAATTACTATTTCAAAGGGTGTTCTTTTGTTTGTCTTCTCCCTATCCAGTAGTATGCAAGCTCCTTGCACTCAAAGAGGCAATTTTTTACCGCCGGAATGACTATGCTCCAAACCTAGGCCTATTTAAGTCATTTTATCATGTGTATATGAACACATTGATACATGTTGAAGAACTAGAGAGTCCATGTTGTACAGTTCACTAAAAGTAATAATAAATTATCAAAAAGCTTTTTGAGTGGATGAGTTAACACCTAAGAAACAAAAATCTTACTGAGGGCCACAAAATAAAAATATTTGTGTGTTAAAAATGCACTAGGTGCTCTTGGAAAAAGAACAAAGTTTCAGCAAAAAGATGTCTCTCAGTTGTGTCTTCTGGTTGAAAGAGAAAAGGACTTTAAGGGTAGGTTCATTGCACGTTTGTTCAGTCAGCTGTGTTGACAATAAATTAATGTATAATCATTTGCTGTACTATAGCTAACCTTTGAGGGATATATATAAATGGTTTAAACAATTTTATTGTTTCATAATCGAATACAGCTGTATGTTACATCACCAGGGTTTTAAGTGAAATGGATTAAATTTATGTAACTACTTGTGACATTTCTTTATGATAATAATGTTTTCCTGTTCCTTGATTATAGTATCAATTGTATATGTTACAAGTACCGGTATTCAGGTTAAATTTTTTTAACTTGAGTTGATTCTCAATTTTATTTGTCTCCTAGCCCTAGCCCTAGCCCTAATTCATGAATAATTAGGGCTAGGAGACATGGGAGATTTAGAATCAACCTAGGATAAAAACTTTAACCTGAATTAAATCTTGACCTGTAACATATACATTTAGTAAACAGAGCTTTGGATAATTGCATATTAATTTTTATATACATTCTGTTTGATTTTTTATCTTTTATCATTCCATCAGATGATAAAAATAGATGATAAAAGACAGTATTAATTTAGAATGTTTTTAGTTTGATGTTCATTTTTAATTCCATTTCCATCATCTAGCTGAATCACTTGAAGAACCTGATCAACCACAAAACATGCCAATGGTAATTTTTTAAAATAATGTTATGAAAGATTTTATTTTACATTTTATTGTGAATTAAATCAATTTTATTTTCTGTCGTTGATTAGTTTTTTGAGCCCCCCCTCCCATGCCAGAAATGTATTAATTAATGTACCCTTTAGATAATAGTCACTGCAAAAACTGTTTATAATGTGTCACGTTTGCATTGATTTACTTTCTTGTAGGATGTGATGCTTAATGATGATACTCTACTGGAAAAAGTCAAATTCCAAGATGTGAATTTTCAAGAAAGCAATGAACCTGTCAGTGCATTTGATCAAGCTATCATCCTGGGATTGACGTAAGACATTAGCAGCTGGTCAGTTTTTTGGGCAACTTGAATAAAAATTTCTTCACAGGCAGCTCAAACTCTGCATTTAGTGTAGTTAGTAATACAGTGATAATAGCTTTGTATACTTAGCTTACACTGTATGCCCGTCTGAAGTTAGCGTAATTTATTTTGTGATGTTAAAATGTGAGAGTGAAGTAAGCCCTGGAGAGTGCCTCAGCTTTAAACATGAAGACAAAATGTTTCAAAAATTAATAAAATTAATTTTAGTCTTTTAATAGTCAGCCAGGAAGAGGTGATTTTCTTTTTTTCTTTTTGCATTTCTTCTGCAAATTCTATAAAGTTTGTGCTATTGTAATACTATTTAAGTACTCAAAATAATGCCAAGGTTGTGATTTTTCTGCCTAACCTTGGACATTAACACAAATTTTTCGACTATACCTTGTAGAGAATTATATACTTTTTTTTTCATCATTTTTTGTAGTGTTGAAAGTCAAAAGAGCCAGGCCTGCCACAGACTAAATACAGAGGAACTGCTGGCGTACCTAGAGGTTCAGTAATTTTAACATTAATATTTTATTAGCCATATTAAGATAAATAACTGCATTAAAACTTAATTATTAGAATCACAAGTCACATGCAATAGGTTTCACTACAAAGCCTTGAAACAATATCATTGAAATAATAATATGAAGCTGTTTCTTTGGAAAACTCTGTGGCATGTATAGTAAAAAATAAAAGAAAAACATACACACAAAAGTATGTTACTTAATAGAGTATTTTCCTTACATTGGTCTGTGCTTACATATTTGGTTACCAAAGCAAGGTAGTAGAATGAGTTTGCCATCTCTCCAGCTAAAAAGAATAGATGGATTTTGCTGCAACATTTCTTTTCCAAAACCTACACCCTGAATAGAAATATTAATGCCGGCTCATTTGAATCTGTTCTATGTCACGTGCATTTTAAAGTTCCTGCTTTGCATGATCTAATGAAACACGTTTTCCTGGATTATAATGCATGTAATTATGGCACATTAAGATACAGATTCATATATTTGTGTAAAGTAATGATTATGATACAACAGATGACTGTTATTTTATATTATTAGGTGATTACAAGTCAACCGAAATCTTGGTGTGTTCAAATGATGGCATTGCTGATGAGAAGCAGATTGGAAAAAGACTCAAGAAGGAAGATGGAGCGATCCATGATGCAGCTACAGGTATATGATGTATAACTGACTTCATTTTTATACATTTGGAGTTTAAGGTGACCTAATAAAGAGACTGCGGCAGTGTTAGCTCAGTCGGTAGAGTGTGTTGACTGCAGAGCGGGAGGTCGCGGGTTCGATTCCTGGGGCCGCACCAATACTCAGGGTCTTAAAATAACCGAGAAATGAAGGTACTCCCTTTGCACTGCAACAGGCTAGACCTTCGTGTGGCTCGGATGACCATATAAAATGGCGGTCCCATCTCCAGTTGGAGTCGTAAAATATAGTGTCCCCAATTAGTACTTTCGTGCTAAATACATTGACACTCAAATAAAAGTGCATTTTTTTCAGAACTGTTTAAGTGCCAACAGTTACATTGCTGATTTTATAATAGCTGTATTAATAGTTTGCGACAATGTTTTTTTTAATTTTTTATTATTTTAAATTTTTTTTACAGGCTTTGGTAGATTCAATTGAAAATCCATCCCCAAAGGTACAGTGTAAGGTTCTTCTTTGACTAGGATATTAAGATAAATAATGGATCCTGTAGAGACCTTTCTGGTATTCCACTCTGGTAAACGTACATAAACAATGAAAGTCAAGGCTTGAGTGGACAATATTCAGACAAATCACTGTATTTTGTCACCCCCCAATCCTGGGTGTTTCTTGGTGCTGGAAACCATTGTTGGTTCGCGGTTGTGTTGTGATGTGGGTATTATTGGACATTAATTTTCGATCTTTTGTATTACATCCTTTGCTGATTGCACCTGTCCGCAGAACCAAAAAACTAGCCCAATCCTTGAGTTGTACCTCTATTCACAGGAGTGCAGTGACGGTTTAATTTAAAAATTATTCATAAACAAAGGAAGCTTCCTTCATTTTTTCACTTTTTCCTGGTGTAGGGTGAAAATGCACTCAGTCTGCCGTTAATAACGATTGTTTAACCAACTTTTTAGGCAGCTGAGAGGCAAGCATTATTTTACTCTGTACCCCTTCCACCAAAGTGGACTATTCAGGTAGGGAATATGGAAGCATAAACGTTGATCAGATCGTGCGTGAGTAGGGCTTTATTCTCGAGCTTAACTGGTCTGTTCAGAATAGTTTCATTGTATAGTACCAGAATAGCCGTTTACGACTTGGCCAGTTATTTTTATTTTCCATTAATGCAAAGGTGTTCTTTGGATTTCTTTCAAATGGCGTTTCTAGGAAAAAATGCGTTGATGTTCCATTGTGTGATGAATCGTTAACGTGTTTATTGTTCAATGAGAATCGAGTGAATAATAATGCTTTTAGCTCGTTCGTGCATGTTTTGTCTGTTCGTAAATTAAAAAGGCTCATAAATCAGCCTCAACGTTCTCTTTTAAAAAGGTTCTTTTTAGAAGACGAGTGTGTTTGATAATCGATGACTAACGACTTACCATAGTTTATAAATGCTATTGATTTTATTTGTAGAGAGATTTAGCCAACTTGCTGTTTCAAATGGGTGTGGTCAAGGGTGCTTTGGAGATATTTGAGCGGATCAATTCCTGGGAGGATGTGGTATCCTGTTATCAAAGTTTAGGATGGTATGCTAAGGTTAGCGGAGACTGGTACAGAATTTCTTAACCTATTTGAATTTCATACTAAGAATTAAAATGAAGCATTTAATAAACTTACGTTCCGTCTGTTTGTTAAGATGGCAGGCAATTTGCCTCGTTCTTTTTTGTGTTTTTATTGACCTCGACTTCATCTCGGTCCATTAAAACGCAAAAAAGAACTTGGCCCGCAATATAATATCCAGCCATTTTGTCCGGTGGGCGAGCTTAGTCTGACTGGCCAATAATTCTTATTTACAGACATCGAACTAATTTTGGCATGATGAATAATTCTCAGTACAGTGGAACCCCGTTAATACGGTCACCAATGGGCCTAAAAAAAATTGGCCTTATTACCGGGGCAGGTTCAAATTTAATGACTTCCTGTACAACAACCGGAATGTAGATATCGCGTGCAGTAATTGTAAAAACTACTTGTAATCTTCCTTTAGCACATAAAACACGTTAAAAAATCGGCTATTAAACAGCCACAAATGCATTTTAAGTGTGCTGTGGTCTAAAATCAATACAAGAACATGCCCAGCTTACTAGGTCAAGGAAATGGCATGTCACAGACGTCGCAATTTTTTAAATTTCGAACAAGTGGCCATGTTAACGAGGTGATATTATAGATGATTCTACTGTCTGGAATTTTTAAAATGTGTCTGTCGACCATATTAACGGCTGACCGCATTAACGAGGGTCTTTTATAAGGAAATGTGCGGCCGTTTTGCCGGGCCAAAAAAAGTCGCCGTCATAACGAGGTGATGGTATTACCGCGGCGGCCGTAAGGCGGGGTTCCACTGTACAAGCAAAATGTGTGCGAGGCTTTCGGAAATGGCGATAGCCGTGGTCTGCGAGCGGGATGACCGCTGTGTACGAAGTGTGTGAAAGATTAGCGAAACCTCGCTCCCTCGTATCCGGTCGGGACCCATTATAGCCGCGAAGGATTTTGAGAACGTCTAAAGAGAAGCAAGAGGGCAAGAGTGTTCAGGGTGAACTAGTGTTCCTAGCCCAACAAGAAAGCCCTGGCAAGAAGAAATAGAAATAGAAAAGAAATAGTTATTGTGAACTTTCTGCACGCGACCTTAGGCGCATTGTAGCATGCAGTGTCCGACATGTTCTCATTCTTACGAGTTTTTGTTTTACAGGCAGAAAACCTCTTACGGGAACAGCTGAAGATAAATGAAAGTGCACTTCTGTGGTGTTTGTTAGGTGATACATTAAAGGTACACTGAATTATTGTTGTAATGTATGAGGTTTCAACTTAAAGCAGAGTGCAAACCGGTACGGAAGTTCGGATGTCCCTAACTTTAAGATTTGAGTGTCGTGTCTCCCTACTAAAAAGCCATTTCTTATGTTTCTGATTTACTCGGATAGGCTAGTGGTTTGTTTATTTATTTATTTTGTTCACGAGAATACATATTTATTTTCTTTAGGATGCTTCTTGTTATGAGAAAGCCTGGGAAGCATCAGGGCATCGCAGCTCCAGAGCGCAAAGATCCCTGGGATTCATCCACTTGAGAAATAAAGAGGTCGCTGAGAATGCTCTTCCTTGTTTCCGTTATTCCTCAGAAGTTCTTTCATAAAGCTTTCATATGCAATATGAATACTGGAGTTAAAATAGTTCCATGAAAATCATTTCACTCCAAAATTCTCTGTCTTTTTAGAGTTCATTTTAAGAATTACAAGCCAGCTGTCGAGTAGGACTTACCCTTTTTTTAGTGGTCAGGGCTGACCAAGTTTTTATCGTGTCACTTTGTGGAAAGAAAGTTTTGTCTTGAGCAATTTCTTCATCTATTCACGGAGCGGTTTATTGTTTTCTCGAGTTTCTGTTAAGTTAAAGTATTTTTTACATGAATGAGAAAGAATTGGCCCAATTTTTTTGCTTTTCTAGTACGCCAAATCAATACCTTGCTTTCAAAAGTCACTGGAAATCAACTCTTTACAGGTAGGACACGCGAAAACTTAGTCTACTTTTATTTGTACTACATTGAACGATAAGAGTGAACTTAATTAATAACCGGTTCAGTTTGAGAACAATTTACTCTCAGTTTAGTTATACCGTTTAAGATTCATTGTGTTGTAATATGGCCGGTGAGAAATCTTTCTTTAAAAGGTAAGATTGATAAATTACGGTATTGCACCTACCATAGTTATTAAAGTGGAATTGTTATGAAACACGTTAGATTCCTTTGTTATATGTTTTTGTTAGCTTTTTTGAACCTGACCGTGTACAACGTTCGATAGAATTCCTATCATTTCGAACTTATTGACTAACAGAGACATCGCATTGACTTATTCAGTCACAATTTGTGAACAAAAAAATAGAAAGGATTGTGCACGGTCAGGGAGCTTCCAACATAAACTGTAGTACCGTTGTTTTCAACTTTGATGTTTGCCGGCTTTCATAACCAGTCTCCTATACTAACTATGCACATACATTGCGACAATCAGAGTATCTTTTGAAACGTATAGCAGTCCACAGAGTATTACTCAACCACGGTATCCTTTAAAATCTAGGGCAAATGAAAATTATTGCGTTTAAACACTTGATACAGATTCCGTTTCATTATGCCATGTAGATTCAGTTGAAACAGTTTTCCTCTCGACGTTCTAAACCGGTGGTTTAGAATTTAAAAAATAAGTTGTCCTAATGTTTGTTGGTTACCCTGTGGTAACCTGCGATCTATTTGGAGGAAGTAGCAAAACACAGACAACTGTAGTAGGTTCTTCCCATAGAAGCTAACACTTTGATTCTGCTATTTTGAGGGTCTTTTGAAGCTGATTCACTAGATAACCTGCACGGTAAAGATTCATCATGTATTTTATAGGAAGGAGTGTGGTTCTCGCTTGGATGTGCGGGACTGGCGACAAATGATTTGGAAATTTGTGCAAAGGCTTTTCATCGCTGTGTTTCCATCGACAGTCAGGTTTGATAGAATTTCGCGTTGTGGTCCTATTTAACCCTTTCAGTTCTAATAGTGACGAAAGAAACCAAAAACATCACTTTTCTGTAAAATCCTAAGAAATAGCGAGTATTGTGAACACCATAGGATTTTGTCCTCAGACTTTATACAAGTTAAACAAAAAGGCACGAGCCTTTTGAATCTCTGTTTTGATCAGTTAAAGAATAACAGTCGGCCACTCCATTTGTCATCATAAATGCGATTGTTTGAGAGCTTGACCTTTTCACCAATGCGTTGATCACCGATATGGGAGAGATATTTTATATATTCCTAGACTTTCACTCAACTAAACAGGGACTGCCATTGGTTGATTCTTGGTCACGTGGCCTTGACTAAAATCAAATGTATCCCGATCGTGATACATTAAACAATGTATCCCGCTCGGGATACATTGCAGCCAGCACGTGATCAAAGCATGGTGGAAAGTGGTGTGACAGAAGGCGGGAAAAACACCGCCAGGTCCAGCCAATTTTCTTTTTCGTGAATGAACACAACAACACAAAAACGAAGCCTCAAGCTAAAAAGCAACGATTTTTAAAGTTATCCCAGAAGTTCCCAGAAGTTCCTAGAAGAAAAACAGCCGCTAGTGGAGGAAAAAGATGCAGATAATATGAGGAAAGTACTTTTGTTTGTAAATCATTCATCCAGTGGTTTTGAGAATTAAATTTGTGTTGTTATAAGTACCGAGTCGACTGTTTTGGTTCGCTCCGGTTATTCTTTTGTTGCTGTTGAAGTGAAAGTCTAGAAATATAACAAAACACTTAATGTCAGGTCCCTCGGGAAACCAGTTAGTTTTGTTTTCCCTCGAGTCCTGATGTTTCCCTCGACTTCGTCTCGGGAAACATCAGGACTCTTGGGAAAACAAAACTAACTGTTTCCCTCGGGATCTGACATTAAGTGTATATTGTATGTCATATGACATTTCTAGTAATTCTATCAAATTTGCTGATTATGGCGTGTTTACATGTGTACGTTACTCCAACAGAACGCAGAAGCTTGGAATAATCTTTCTCACGTTTACATAAAAAATGGTCAAAAGTGAGTAAACAATTGATAGTTTGAGTAGTAATTCCTGGTGAAGAGCTGAGACGGGATAAATATTCAGTTTGTCGCAGGTGTGGAGTAAAGAGAAAAATGTCAGGCAAAGATTGTATTCGAACCATTGACCGTTGCAACCACGGTCATGAAGCCGGCTCTAACCACTCAGCTCCTTTAGGACTCATGGGCCAGTTTGGTTATTTTCGTTAGGTTAGTTTTAACATGTGGTCTGCCTATCATGTACTTGGAATTTTTTTTTTTTCAGTCCTCCGCTGTGATAGAACTACCAGTAACCAGGGCATGTTCGCCACGTGTCATCATCAAGAGCAAAAGAGCTTTTATTGGCTTCCCATAAGTCTCCCGGTTTTCTTATGGGGAAAAAAGAAGAGTGAAACGATCTGATTCCTGGGAAGCTTTGGAGGAGAAAAGTTCAAAGAAACATTCGTGTAAAAAAACGTTTTTTTTTTCTCTTTTGTTCGTCACTATAGGTCACGTGCACACCTTACCCTCCAAGAAGCTCTGAAAGGAAATTATGAGAGTTGGCACATTTGGGAAAACTACTTAGTGGTGAGTACATTGGTGGACTGGCAGTAGTGTGTCTTGAAACCACGTGGTAGATTGGTAAAGGTGATGGTTGTGTAAATCTCACTCGTACCCAGTCGACTCTCTTACTGTGTAAATTCAGGTGCAAAAGACGGTGGGACGGGAAAAGTTTGCCTTCCGACGATCAGTTATTCACCTCGTCTCGCGCGACCTCTCGAAGGATCTGTGAAGGCGTCTGAATGACGATGATAATAAAGTCTCATGTAGACCTAATAAACTGAAAAAAAATTTCACTTTTTCAAAGGAAATTTTCCTTCACTAATTAGAAATGATTTTTTCCAATGCTTGTACAATGTTTGTCCTGATACTTTTGTCTTCAAAAAGTGCGGTGTCAACTTTGATTTCTTGAACCGTTTGAATAAGGTGTTCTTCTTCCTCTGTGTCTTCTCCACAGAAAGGAGACATCTCCTACCTTACGTTGGCAAATTCATTTGAAATCCCCTGCTTTATTCTTAAAACTGCAGGCCAGTTGTTTTTTACTCAACTGGTTTGGCGATATATAGTCCGGGTTTCAATGTATTTAACACGAAAATACCAATTTGGGACACTATATTTACGTTTCCAACTAGAGACAGGACCGCCATTTTACGTGGTCATCCGAGCCACACGTGCGAGGGTCTAGCCGCTTGCAGTGCAAGGGGGGTGAGTATTGGTCCGGCCGCGGGAGTCGAATCCACGACCTCCCACTCGGCAGTCAGACGCTCTACCGACTGAGCTAACCTTGCCGCGGGTAACTTTTAATAATTACTTGTTTGTTTGTTTGTTTTTTGTTTGCTAGGTCAGTGTTGACGTAGGGGCTTTCAATGATGCCATAAACGCGTTTCATCGGATGATGGACTTGCGTGACAAGTACTGTGATACAGAGGTCAGCGGTTTACAAATCTTTCCTTTAGTACGATGATATGATCGATATGTTGTCCATGTTATTGGGACATTGAGCTTTTTAATCCGGAATACTTCTTAGTGAGTTTCTGAGAAATTGTAAATGCCAAGACTAGGAATGTGTTCGAATAACTTGACTAAACTATACTTGCAAAATGAGACATCAAGTCTTTATCACATTCGACGCACGTATAAGAAATGTAAAATGTAAAAATAAAAATGTTCTAGAAGTTTTAAAATCCTTGAAATATATTTCGCTCTTCGAGTCTCGTCAGTCAATAAAATTTTCATGTAAGATGCACTAAAAGGTTCAAACTTTTGAGTGACATAAAAGTAAAAGAAATATGCCATGAGATAAAAATAAAAAGGGTTACAAAAGAAGTTTTCTGAGGTTAACTTTTTCTGTAAAGATAAGCAAAACTAATTTGATTCTCAAAATACGTGTTATGGCTTTAGATTTTAGGGATTCTTGTAAAAGCGGTGAGTCAAGGACTGTTGGACTGCAATCAGAAGCCAGGTACCTGAAAATCTTTTGAATTATTAATGAAAGCACATCCACGAAGTGGTTCTTCGTCTACATGATTCCTGGTCGAAAAGGAATTTGGAAATGTTGGTTTCTGAGGAGAGAGGAAAACCGGAGTACCCGGAGAAAAACCTCTCGGAGCAAGGGAGAGAACCAACAACAAACTCAACCCACATATGGCGTCGACGCCGAGATTTGAACCCAAGCCACATTGGTGGGTGGGGAGTGCTCTCACCACTGGGCGGGCCACCCTTGCTCCCACCCGCTACTGATAAATGTTGAAATCCAACTTGTTCCCGTAAACTTATAGATAAAAATTACTGATTGCAATAGTTATTTTTGAAAAAAGGTGAATTGCTGCTTTGTATATATTTCCATCAAAGCCTAGTGTCATCGATGGAACCGGTTTTAATGATGTCAGTTTCACTAGAGGATTTCTGTTTTTCATTTACAGCTTCAGTTCTGAAACCTAACCTTCTTAAGTTAATGGGAAGGCTTACATCTCAGGTAAGTAAGTTTCTGTGCACGAAATGACTTTTCTACATTCATGATATATAGCAACAGTTAATTATTCGTTTACGTTTGTTGGGAGGCTTGAATCTGAAGAAATATGATAGCCCTTGTCCTTCCAATAAAAAAAACGTAGCAATGAGTGGAGCTGCTCTTCAAATAATAGTTATAATAAGATGCTTTTATTAGCTAAGAATCTGCTCGTAACCTCCAAATTGGTAAACAAAAGAATCTAACTAAACCTCAACCACTGCAGAGATAGAGTTTTTTAGAAATAAGCTGATCATCATATAGCTACTGTGATCGGTCTGATCTTTTAAGGTAACGAACAATCCTGATGTATGGAAGTTATACTCGGACCTATATTGGAATGGTGGATCACAAGAGGAGAAAGAAAAGGTCTGGAATGATTTGCCGATTAAATGTATACTTACTTTCTCTCGCTTTAGTGACTTTGCGAGATTAAGATCGGGGTTTTCGAGGGATTACTTAGACTTTTCCAGTGCACAAAAACTGTCCATCACTCATCAAACGTTTCGTCATTCGCTTGCACATCACTGAAGGATCCCACCCGACTCGTTCATAGTCTTTTCACGCTTTTTGCGTCACCAAAATGTCCTTTCAAAATTTAGTTCCAACTTAGAATGAAGCGCTTTCATTTGAAATAGTTTGAGATATCGTATCTGAAAAGGAAACTTAAAACCGGTAATTGCCTTCCCCAATTTTATACGATAAATAACTGCAAAATTGCTAGAATAGGTAGGACAAAACAGTAAATGGGGTCAACAAACGAAAATTCGTTATCAAACGAAAGAAATACAAATCGGTGTTTGAAAACTGGGAATTTGTTTACTGTTTGCTCAACCTCTTGAGGTGTCAGCTCAAGCATTTTTGCGACTTCTCCTTTGAAAATGACTTAACCATTTTTGTTGCCCACAGTCGCTTTAAACAATTCATTTCTTGGATTAATTTCAGGCGCTTCATTTCTTGGTGAAGGCCCATAGAACTAAGACCCAGGCTACAGGCTGGGAGAATGACGTCACCAAGTTCAAGGATGTTATAGCGTTGACTGTTCATCTTAGTGACGGTAAGATTACATACCACAATGTTATATACTCTCTATACACAAGCCGACAAATTATCTGCACTGTCCTGCCTGTTTCTTTCCAGTGGTTCAGTGGTCTTCTGATATGTTCATTCTTACAGTGTACGTAGAAGTAGGTCAGTGCAAAGATAACAAGACTGAATCACTTCAGCTTCTGTCATCAGCCAAGCTTGTCCTTAAACAGTTGATCACGAGAGCCAAGGTAAGTCAGTAAAGTATTTTTAGGTAAAGTGAAAGCAAATCCCGCTTTGCTTTAATATATAACGGTAAATAGGCATTACTAAAACTGTATCCTTAATCGATCATTGCAGTGTATACTGGTAATTTATTGATAGATTTTGTATTCCTATTATAACAGAAACACCATACGGATTCATTAACTGGAAATATCCCTCCAGAGCTTTCGCAATCCATCACAGACCTGGATAACAGCCTTCAGAGAATTACGGACTTGATTTCAAGCGCGAAGAGTTAACAACCCGTGAAAACATTGATAACTCTGGGATTAGCTCTAAGAAAACTCCGCGAGAGGTTCCTGAGCGATGGAGATATCCTCATTCACGGAAGATGGTTCGTTTAATGACCTACACAACTGCGGGAATGTGATCTGTGGTCCGTTATGGCAAGCTAACAGGCTCAGTAAACAGTGAACTCTTAGAGATACTATGAAAGCTAATCAATCGAAATCCTCTTCTTCTCGTATGGATACTAAAGCCAATCGTGGCGCCGCACGACACAAATAAGCCAAGATCTATTGAGATGATTATACTCTACCGAGAGACACTTGAACAATTTAGATATGTTAAAATTCATTCTTGGCTCTTAGGCTTGGGGGAATACTAAGGACATGCGTCACTCACCTCTGAACTGCAAAGGTGATTTGTTGTGTTATTCCCCCAAGCCTTAAAGCCAAGTATGAATTGTCGAAATGCATTGATATTGGTCTATTCCATTAACGTTTGGAACCAATTGAAGTCGTTTACAACTGACAATTCCTTATTTATTTTCATAATTTCTGGAACCTATGTAACAAGGTTTGTAAAAAATGAGACTTGCAAAAGATCCGGCGTACATGAGCAAGGTCTTCCTTGAATCTGTGCGGCGATTTAATCAAATGCTCAACTATCTGCCAAGCATATCTCATTATGAAAGTCACTTCTCTGCTTTTACATTAAAATGTCAGCGTCTTAACCAACACTATTTCCGGGTCTAATAAATGAACCAGAAATGAGACGCTTATGAGATTATGCAAGCCTCTCTTGGGTTATGTTAAGGGCGGGGGTTTAAAAAACAGTGTTTTTAAATGTTTATTGCCCTTTCCTTACTAATCGTAAATGCTTGCTAAGTTTGTCAGTTGATTTTAGTCAGGTGTTGTTACCACGTGGCTGCCAGATATTGAAAAGCTAATATAGGGCTAACCGAGTGTTCTGTCCCTCTAGTTATCAGTCTGATAAGCGGTATAAAGAAGGCAAGTGACTTTTTTTGTCGCTAACGAAACGATTGTCATCTTTAAAATAAAATTTATAGCCATTATAGAGAGTTAGCGGCATGAACGGATGATCACGATGAACTGAACTGGATTGGCTTGTGGATCTGGAGGGTCGACTTATAACAGCGTTTTGGGTAGCTTTGGTTATTTTTGGCCAGAACGTAACTAGAAAACGGGTCGACTGGCCTCAAAAACTGTGGCACAAATGAGTTTTCAAGGCCACTCTCTTAACCCAGTTTTCTCTAGATAGTTATGCGGTCCCTCTGATCTCCACGATTTCCACCTCAACAATACGGACGCCTCTCAGTCTGTTGTAAACTGGATACTTGCCTCTGCAGTTCGTATGGTGTCCATATTAGGGAGGATTGCCTCACTAACCAATTCCCACTTATCGTTTTCGTTTTGAGGGGAAACCTTGGTTAAACACAGATTTTAAATAGTTAAATACCTACTTGACACAATTAAGTCTCGCGATTGAAAAGTGTCGGGTTGTTCCGAGAAGCGCAAGTGCAGTCCAGCGTTTTTTGATTAATTAGAATTGTGAAGATTCTTGTAAACTCTCAGAAGTACAGCCTGCCTTCCGGCGTGATTGGCACTCTGAAGACACGAATGTCTGTCATGAGAAGACTCTTGCACAAGATGCGGTTTAGTTCATTTAAAGACAACATGGAATTGTTATTGAAGTCTTTGTGAAATTTAAATTGAGATGTTAAGTTAGAGCACAGATGAGGTGCGATCGGTATCAACGGTTCATCTCTGGAAAGCACATCACTTGATGCAGGAGAGTCAGAGGACGGCAAATCCGTGATGTTGGAAGCCTGTGGTCCAGTGAGTACACCCCAGTCCAAGCAATATAGATCAGACAGTTGACAGACTGCCTGAAGGTAACGGCTGTTTACTGTACTGTCCTGTGGATTAAAGGAAAAGTTACCCTGAACGTCAGTTTCTTTGCATTTGCCGGGGAGAAAATGAGCGAATATCATACAGAATTGAGCATAGTCAGGACATGTGATCACAGGAATCCCAATATAACGCATGGCATTTTACCAAACTTTTCTATATTTAATAATAATTTAAGTCAAAAATGACAGTCATCCCAGATTTAACACGAGTTACTTAAACAGGGTCGGCCGTGATATCCGGCTTCAGTTTGGAAATAAGCACCTCTGCGTTTTGGCTGCCGTCGCCGCCGTCGATGTCATTCTTTTTAGGTCTCGTCCACGCGTATCCAGTTATTTCTGAAAACTGAGATTTTTTCTCTTCTAAAAAAAACACGCGTATTCGATTCGTCTTCGCCCGTCAACACGAAAACGCTAAAACAATGGAAATACGATAGCATCCCTTACAAGGCATGCGCTTTATGATGTATGGCATTATTGTACACGAAAACCTGACTTTTTGTCCGTCGACATGAAAAGGATAAGCCGGCATCGTGTGGACGGGGCCTTAATCTTTCCTTTCAACGTGGCTCTCCCCCCACCCCTCCCCCCCCACAACTACTGCGCATCCCTCCTCCCTTCAAATGCCCCTCCCCAACCTCTGTTAGTGTTTTAAAGTAATTCAAATTCAAACAAGCGTCGCAAGAATCCAAAAGATCAAACCCTCTTTTATTTTCAGTAATCCCTTACCTCAAGTGGCCATACAGAAAGCGTTTTAAGGCTTGGGAGAAGCTGAAGAACATCCGCTAAAGTAGAAGGTATACCAAACACGATAAGATCCAAATGGACAAGTCTGCAAACAGAAAAACACCATACTGCGATCACAAGATTGTCAAGCTGTGTTAAATCAGGCGATAATAATCTTTTTTCTGGTTATAGCCTCCACAGAGGCGCAACCTCATCGAGTTGTGTATTAGTCATTTTGTAGGTCCGCAATAAGTCCACAAAGAAATAGCAAAGGTATCTTCGCATAAAGAGCCCCTTGGCATGTTCACCTTAAGATCATGTTTCGGTAACCTGGCTTTGAGGAGACCATTCTTGTTATTAGTTTTTCAGGAAGGCTTGTAACAAAAACGTATGCAGAAATACATCCTTATCCTGACAAAGGCAGAACGACGATCTAGTGAACCACAAGAATTCCTAAAGCCACTGAAAGGCCAGTTTCTGTAGTACTGTAAGGTGACCACATCGGTTATGACTGGTTTACCTTTGCATACCCTTCAGGGCCTGTGCAAGTCCATCATGAGAACTGCCGCACTCTAATCTTAAACATTTTAAATTCGTTAAGCATCCAAGGCACTCGTAAGTCTGAAAAAAAAAAAAAGACAAAACAAACAAGAAAAACAAATCTCTAATATTGCACATTAAAGTCAAAGAGATTGCAGTGAAATATAGTGAACTTGGATCTTGCGTAATGACTGAGTATCGGTTAACACTATCGGCCGACGCTCAGTTGAGATGTCGGTGGACTATCAGTCGACATATTTATTTCTAATCTAAAGGCTGCTGTCAACTTCTCTGCCCAGGCTCACATCTCATCACACAGGTTACCCAGTTTACGGTAAGTTCTTACCTCATCATCCCAGTCTGAACACTCTCCTATCTCAAGTTCCTCAAGATTTGGAAGATCTCTTAAAAATCCAAATTCAGAGCTTGGAACATTTTTTAGAGTGGTTAGTGACTGAAATTCAAAGAAAAAATAAACATTCATTACCTTTGTGTAAACAATTAATTTATCTTTAGAAAATGGATGTTTTAAATTTTTCCTGATCAACGACTGACTACACTCAACAGTAAAAAACTCAGTGAATTCTACATAAATTCACACGATCATGTTTTACCAGCTTAGTAAGGTCTTTGAGGTTACTGAGGGCCATCAATCCTCCACTGAAGGTAAATGATGGAACTGTTAGTACACCACAAGCTGCCCGGAGCCGTAGTCTCTTAAGGCATGTGAGCTGTGCAATTTTTCCAAAATCCAAATGTGATGTGCACTCCCTGCAAAGAACAAGATTTTTACTGTTGGTTTTCGAGCTACGTCAATTCCTAACTGAGAATAAAACATGACTTATCATGGTGCGAAAAAAATACTATTATGGGGAGAAATATATCAAAATGTCAAGCAACATGAAGGTTTTGCAGGAGTGCAATACCTAGCACAATGTATGTTAAATCACTTCCTAAAATGTGCATATAAAATGTCTAGATCAACAGCTGTATATGCTGTCTAAGAAAGATAGACTTTAACATACCATTTGCCAGGTTCAGTATCACTTATCCATTCTGCAGTTAAGACCTCCAAGCTGTGAAAGATAGGTTCATTTAAAGTATTACTATCTGACTGGAAAACAAAGAGCACATACAATGCAGTATCTAACTGGTGTGCCTGTGAACATGACTACTGGACAGACAAGCCACAGGATACCCAAGAGACCAGAATGAAGTCTGAAGCAGCTGTATTGTAGGAGTGATGCTCTCTCTCTTGGATAAACTGTTTTATAATTTATCATTGTAGTGCTGTCCCTAGCATTAAGAGAGTTAACTGTATACACGTACAATGACAAACAGCTAAAGTAGGTCCCGAGGGATAGTGTCCTGCCAAAAGTGGACTCATTTGTCATAGGTGGAAAAAAGAGTGAAGTTGAGCATGTTGTCTCTGGAAGTAGTGTCAAGAATGGTTCAGACCAGGGACAACACGTCAACAGGTCTTAAGTCAGTTTGAACAATCAACACATTAACCACTGTTAAGAATGTACGTCTTGACCAGGGATGTAGCTGGATGAAAGCTTAAAAGGATTATTGCCTTGCAATCTGTCAAAATTACCAAAAAATTAATTTACATCTTATTTTTTGGAGAAATTTGATGTGGTGGTAAGCTCTGTTTCAGCCAGTGAAATTCACTGGCTGCAGCCACCTCTTAGCTATATCTCTGTTTATCCACAAAAATATGACACTACAAACACAGAAGATATAATTTCAAAATCCAAGGGATGACGTGATAAAATTTTGCTAGAAATGACTTCTAATGAACTATGAGATTTTCCCAACAAATTAACTAATGTATTTTCTTATGAAACTGAGAGCCTTTTCAATTAACGACAAGTTTACGCCCGACTGCTTACTCTGGTGAAGTTTCTGTCACTTGATGAAGAATCCATGTTGGCACCAGTCCAAAATCCAGCCATTTTATACTGGACAACTGACGCAAAACATTTCCAATGGTTAACCAAGAATCAGTGAGACTCTTGCCATGAATGAGACCCCTTAAATCCTGTGATTAACAGAAAAATGCATCCCATTACAATTTGAATATTATAACCTAAGCTAACAGGGTTTAAAACTGACAATGGCCCAGCACATAGCAGCTAAGAAATGTTTCAGTTCATTGCAGAAATCATGCAACACTGCACTCTGGGATATTAGATATCCTTATGTACTACATACATGTAATAATAATTTATAAGCTCACCAGTCTTTGAGTAGAAAACTGCACCATTGTTCTTGCAGCTATGTCCCAGTCCTTAACTTGCAGACCATGTAGTGACACTCTCCTCCACTAAAAAAGCAAACAACTGAATCAGCAAACAAACTGAAATCTTCTCACTGTTCATTAATTAAAAAGATGTCTTTTGCTGAATAACTACAAGCTATAAAAGACGCCTCACATGTATTTAAAGTCAACAATTTTATTGTAACTATGATAATCTTTCATGTAAAGCTTTTTTAGGCTTTCTTTTATCTTTTATGTAAAATATGATTCCACATCTATTCTTGATATCCTCATTGTAGCCATGACTGATAGATTTGGTAACATTAACCATTAAAGTATACACCAATAAATATGAATGTGGTGGATAATACTAAAAGAGTGTTGTAAAGCACCACAACTACAGTGTCACAATTCACATCACAATAACCACTATTTCATTTCTCACCAGGATAGGTTGGGATGACACTTGATTCCACATACTGCATACACAACTTGCACTAAAATAAAAAAATATATATTATTATTCTTCATATATTTGCAAACTGTAAACTTTCCTAAGTTAGCCTTTTATAGTCTTAACTTAATATTTTGCGCTCATCCCAACTCGAATAGCCTTGCTAGCTGAGGGCAATGCTTCTGTAATAATATATTTTCTGTTTATTAATAAAGTTTGTTGTTGTTGTTGTTGTTTGAAGATAAAGAACCTCATTTTGTTTTTAACATTGGGATGCTTTCAAAGTGTTATGTCACATAAGGCCTAATAAAGAATCTTAAGTGTAACCATCAAAAAACAAATGGCAGCTGTAAAATATAATCTGAAAGTTGTAAGTGAATTGACAGAAGTGTAAGAGACCTACCTGCACAAGTCATTGAGGGGAAGATATGACAAGATATGAAGGAGGCAATCAAATGATAACTTAAGAACAGGACAAACATCTGTTAATTTGATTTTTACTTTCAGTGCATCTGGGTTCTCTTCTAGCAAGCAGTGCTACAACATAATAAAATAGTTAAAATGGGGATCAGATTGTCTAGACAATTTTAACAACAACTTCAGCTAACCACTACATCAAAAGGAATTGAAATTGAGTTGACTTTTGTGGAGAGATTTGATTGAGGTGAATTATGGAAAAAGTGATTTCTTCTGTAAAAAAATAATAATTTATTTTACAGAAGAAACCACTTATATTATTACAAATATAATTGCCTAAAATGATTTCCTTTGTTTCCTTCCAGTAAACATTTTGCTCTTACAACTTCTGGAGAGTTCCAAGACATTGATGAGAAGCAAGAAAAAGACACCACACAAATTTTTACATTTTAATGATGTCACAGTGTCAATAAAGCATGAATTTACTGACTTAAAAGGGTGGATCCAATACAGGTTTCCTTGACACCTAAAACTATGCTTGCATTATTTGCTATCTTTTTTAAAAGTTAAAACAAATTAATTTAAATGATAATAATACACTTTTGTTACTTAAGCCTGTGTTTAGGCATTGAAACTGTCGCCAGCTGCTGTCTATAATAATATTAACATGGATTTGGCATGAAAGGACCTGGATTGAAACATGTAAAAGTTGGGTCAACTTTTTCAAGTTTTAATGCTACGCCTGCAAAAAACATCACCAACTAAATATCATTATTACTGTATGGTTAGTGTTCCTTGATCAAATTGGTTTGATATCTTCTTTATGACTCTAATGGAACATTTTTTGTAAAAAATGGGTAAAGGCAGTAAGTAATGACCTCAGCATGGAATTGACCTAAACCAGCAATATCCTGATGACAGTCATGGCCCCTTCATACTGGTCTTGTGTAAACTTTGTTTATCTTGGCTCCACATCTATCACTCTACAATAAGATTTCACTACCATAAATCAGGGTGCAAAGAGAGTCTATTTTGCAGCTTGCCATTTGGGCAAGCTATAGTTGGCATGTACTTGCCCAAGAGTCCAAAAAAAAAAAAAAACTTTGACAAGCAGGATTGATAGCAGTTCTTCTGTAATTTCAGTGCCCCAAAAACCTCACTTGCCCATTGGGCAATATCCACTCACCCGGCTGGGCTATCGGACATTCTATTCTTTGCATTCTGATAAATTAAAAGAATTAACTTACTGTACAAACATAAGAATCTTTCACTTTCTTAGCTTCAGTTGGAGAAAGAAACACACATTCGGGGTGAAAAAACGCTTTGCACAAGTTGCATTGCAGTGAAGGCCTGGTGTTGTTTCGCTCTGGACAATATCTTGTACATATCACCACTGTAGACCATCTACAAGTAACGCACAGACAAGCTTAACATCATGTGAATAATAATTTATCAATTTTCTATAATGCACTGTAAAATAACTTTAATTGCACAATAACACTCAAAAGGACAGATTCTGCATTGATGTCCTGAAACAAATATAACTAGAATGTTAAAGAACCTCAACACATGCTTCATGCAAGATAAGTAACACAAAACATTACACTTGAAGGCCAGGTGAGTATGTGGTTAGAGTGCAAGACTTGCATTTATTTGCAATCAGTTGGCAGTCAGTTAGTCTCGCCTTGACTACTAGCTGAATTTGTTCCCATTTATATATCCCTCGGCCTGGTGAGTTCATCTCAAGGCCATGCTCATAAGATGGCCAACTAGTTTACCAATGAACATTTGCAGGATTCCTAACATATTTCATATACCCCAAAAAGCCCCTCATAATTTGTGTGCAGACATGATGTACACTGTGTATAACAACTACCATGACCAATCATCATGATCAATTTATTTTTTTCATAAATATCAGAAAAACATGAGAAAATAGAAAAAAAAATAATGAAGCTTACTTGGATTTTCTCCAAGGCTCAGACTGTGTAGGTGCTGCTGGCATCGTGCGAGACACCTGCAATTCACCATTTTATTAATATTTTAACCCTTTAAGCCCCAAGAGTGATCAGCATCAAATTTTTCCTTGTAAATGTAATATCAATGCTTTGTAAAACAGAATGGTCATGAGAATTACGGACATGATCGCACAAGATGAATTTGCTTGATATTTTATCAACTTCTCCCCACTTCTTCTGTAGGAAACAAATAGGGGCAATAAATGAGAATTCAAATTTTGATCTTAGTTAGGGTTAAAAAGGTTAATAGAGGAGCTCTGGGTACATAAACAGAGCACCATAGGTAAGTAAGAAACTGGTTATCAGCTGTCCTAGTGGGAAATTCTGGTTATCACATGATTGTTAGTATGATCACCTATTGAAACCATCGTGTACATAAAAGCCCGACTGAAAAATGAGGATTATCCTGCTGGCCTTTTAGGTGACATACACCATCCATATCAAAATCAGCTGTCTCGTTATTCACTAATCAGTCACAGTCATGTGACTGTATTGTGTGCTTTTTTTTTGCCAGAGGTATTTTATTTTGATTGTAATGGATAAAACTAAGTAATGGTCGAGAAGAATTTAGCAGAAGCATTAAAGGGTTTAACTAAGTTTTGTGAATAAATGAAACATATAATATGAATTTTGAATTTAGGGAACAAATCACACACTTCCTAAGAGCAGTGACACGTAATGAAAGCAGATACTTTGGTTTATATTAAATAGATAGTTACATATAAACTGTATAATACTTCCTTAGTAACTGTAACAACAACTAAAACATCTCAACATTAATTTGTACCTCTTTGTCTCCTCCACCAACCAGGACATGATTGTCAAAAGAAAACCAGTCTGGTGATAAATAACCTATTCTCTCTGTCTTTACTAAAAAACAAAAGGCATTTGATCAGTTTTTCAAAATGGTTTGTCTACATACCAGTTTTTAAATACCAGGAATAATAAATGTGACGAGATGAGTTAAAGTAGCTGGGCTTTTACATTGAAACCCTGCTTATTTATTCCTTGTATATGTCTTTTAATTATTGATAAATACAGGTCCACCAGCTTAAAACAGCATCTGCTGGCAGGTTCACTGGCAAAAATGTTTATCATATTGATTCAAGACGAACAATTAACACTTGGTGAAGTGGTGCAATTGACAAGGAGATGACCTTACACATTTAAGGTCCAGGGTTAGACTCCCGCCGGAGGAATTTTTTTCCTTTTCTTCGCAGTTTTGTTTTTGCTTTTTTTTACCATCTTTTTTTTTCTTTTATTTGGCTGGTTTCAATTTATTCACATTGCTGACCCGTCACAGATTCACGAGGTGTTCCGATAAACGTATTTCTAGTTTATAAAGAGTAAAAAAATGTTCCCGTTATCATTTTTCGGCAAATCCAGTCCAAGGTAACCGTCTATCAACAACAAGGCACTAGTATGAACCAAATGCTAATTCAAAGGTGAACAACTTATGATCATTACCTTGATGTAACAGGTACTATAATAACTATAATGCTGCTGTTGGTTTTAACAACCATCTTCAAAAACTTTATAACACTGCAATTTGATTTTCTTTGAGTGTACTTGTCTGGATAAAATCCACAATTAATTCAGGAGAATTTAAGAAAAGGACTTACGATACTTGTCCACGTCACCCCGACAACTCTGTATGTGAAAAAGACAAAATGATCTTTACTGGCAAGTTATACAAAGTAGTGATTTCATGACCTCTTAAACACTTTCCAGTCCTAACAGTGGTCAAAGTAAAAAATTCCAAAAGGTCAAATTTGTCTTTCGAAAATACAAGATGTCTAACTTACAAGAATTCTTTCACAGATCGATAGATTTTGTCCACATTTAGAGTGGCAAATAATCTCACCATTATACTGTTAACTTGGTTTAGTATTAAAAGGGTTAGGGTAAATATTCTGCACTAACTTACTAATTTTTTTCCACAAGGTGTTATGTAATTAACCTCACTGTTTCGGCTAGATCCTATGTGTCGGTAAATAATTTCCCGTTGCCAACCTGAAGTAAAAGAATGGAGAGCTTACGATCAGATAAAGAGGACACTTGCCAGTCATTACAAGATCCTTAAACCCAAAAAATGAATAATTTCCAATGGTTGCCGCTTCAGTTTTAAATAGTAAACATTGCCCTTCTACAATAAGTACCCCTTCCTCTTAAAAATGACTTGACAAAATAAGCCCCCCAGGTCAGGCAGGAGAGTTTACAGCAAGCATTAGTACAACAAGTCAGTTTTCCAGTTAGTATCATTCCTTCACATCAATTTAAAAAATACCATTATGTCAATAAAAATAAGCCTATTTAGAACATTTTCCCAACTGCCATTTTTCATATCGACATTGATTTAACCACAAATTATAGAGTAAAAGCTTAATCAAGCACATCTTATTCACAGAGACAATTGATCAAATGAGGGCAGTAAAACTGATCTTCATTTTGTTGAATCACTACTACATGTAGGAAGCGATCTTTAAATCAGGATATGTAAAATAATATTGGCCCAGAAGTGCTTCTGTGATGCACATTTGTGATCATTTTGCTTTAAAAATTATCTAGAAACTCACCATGGTTGAAAGGTTTCTGCATCTGCGGTATATTGAGCAACACAGGGCTGTCATCTCCTACTCAGGATTTAACAAAGATGACAAGTTTGGATTCACAAGCCCTACAGCTAGGTTACAGTTCAAGCTGGCCTTTATTCAAATTTCATTTTCTGGTTATTTCGTATCACAGGAATTCATTTGGCCACACTCTGTAGCTGTTACACACAGAATAACCAAAGATAAACAAGCCAACAACAGCTACAAAAAGTATTACTGTTCTTCTGGTGGTTGTGTGACTTTTAATGTGTTGAGAGGTGTTTGTATTATAAAATGTTATTATTAATATTTATTGTGGAGCTATGCACGTTAATTCTTATGATGAACACCCAAGGGTGAACTTTGCATGCACATTCAGCAATAACGATTAAACTTTAATGACTTTAAAATCATCAAACAACATCAGCTTTAATCACTAAAGTTTAATACATAAACCTTAATTATTGATTAATTTTTGATAACAAACTCATTGCAATTCCCACATGTTTGCTCCAGCTTGCAGAATTAGTATTTTTGAGGTTCTGCATTTGACTTTCTTTTGTTTAAGGCTTTGGAAAGTTATGCGTCTGCTTGTATTTAGCTAAAATACGGGTGTCTGACGACCATATGGCCTTCGTGATTATGTGCTCGAAAATACCCTGTATCACATGATCCATGGCTATTCAAAATCTCGCAGAGTATGCAAATTATTTGTTCGTTGTTATGACCACTCACCGAAATGATCGTGAGGAATTTCATGACAGAATAAAGGCGCTCGTTTTTTAGACATCTTTGCATGAAGTTTGTTCATTGAGTTCATTCCAACACATCGAGCGATTTGATCTTCTACGAACTTCTCTCTTATTGGCGGGAAAAGAGAATGTGGCCAGGTTACCTATCGCCAAACACTCTCAATAAAAAATGGCGGACTCCTTGCTGAGTTATGGTCAAGGAAACTACTTTGATGTGGAGGAAGAAGACGAAGGTGATGATTGGGGTGAAATATTCAATGCTCCAGAAAACCATTGGAGAAACTTCGGGGATCGAGGAAATATTGGGATGTCGGTGAGAGATGATGTCGACAAGGAGGACATATCAGTGACCGGAGAACATGTCGAACAAGTTAAAATGATCGTGGAGAATAACGAGTGCAATTCAATGGACAGTTCAAAAAGCTTGACCAGAATGGAGCTCAATGATCACAAGGCAGGTATGGTAGGTTTAGACAAAGAAAAAATAAACCAAATTATACTTGAAGCAAGCAAAGGTTCCCGATTCTACGAAAATGAATTGAAGAAAGAAAAGCAAGTGTCTGAGAGAATAAATAAGCAGACAGCTTGTCTAAAAAAGATCACCGCGCAGCAGAGACAAGAAGCGTTGCAAACCGTAGACTTGATCGTAAAAGAGCTCGATGACACGCGTGATCTCACCCGAACTTTCGTTCATATAGACATGGACGCGTTTTACGCTGCGGTAGAAATCTTGGACAATCCTGAATTGCGTGACAAACCAATGGCAGTGGGAAGTAACGCAATGCTGTCGACGTCAAACTATCCAGCAAGGCGTTATGGCGTTAGAGCAGCCATGCCAGGCTTTATAGCCAAAAAATTATGTCCTGAGTTAGTTATCGTGCCGCCGCACTTTGAGAAGTACAAAGAATACAGCCATCAAGTGCAGGAGGTCCTTGCTGAATATGATCCTAACTTTGCAATGGCTAGTCTAGATGAAGCCTACTTGGATCTTACTGAGTACCTCGAGAACAGGCAGAAAAACAAAGAAAAAACAACGGTCACCAAAACGAAAAGCGGGTTACACTCAAAGCTAAAAAGTGAGGAAGATCTTGTAGAGGAAAATGCGGCAGATGAGATTGTGGAGTTTGGAAGCAGTGCAGAAGAAATAGTAAAGGAATTACGTTTTAGAATTGAACAAAAAACGCGGCTTACAGCTAGCGCTGGAATAGCGCCTAATGTAATGCTTGCGAAAGTTTGCTCTGATCGAAACAAGCCAAATGGACAGTTCTTCCTGAAGCCAGACCGAAACGTGATCTTAGATTTTGTACATAAACTTCCAATTAGAAAAGTAAGTGGAATTGGTCGAGTAAGCGAACAGATGCTCAAAGCCCTGCGGATAGAGACATGCAAGGATTTGTATACAAGCAGAGATTTGATCTATTTACTGCACTCTCCGATCAGTTTTAGATTCTTAATTCAGGTCTCACTTGGTCTGGGAAGAAATTTTATTATGACTGACTCGAAAAGGAAAAGCATTGGAACGGAGACAACATTTCCCGAAATAAGCAAACCAGATGAGGTATTAGATATGTGTGATAAACTATGTCAGTCGCTAGCTGAAGATGTGAAAAAAGAAAATCTCAAAGGAAAAACCGTCACAATTAAACTGAAGACTGTGAACTTTGAGGTAAAATCTCGATCTCTGTCTCCAATTAACCCTGTTTCAACTTACGAGGAAATTTCCCGAGCAGCTAAAGAGCTTCTTAAAAACGAAATGGCAGCTTGTTTTCCTGATCCGCTAAGACTGCGGCTTATGGGAGTACGTTTATCGAATTTTCAAAACGTGACTTCTGTTTCTTCAAGAGAAGGGAAACAGAACACTATTACGGGTTTTTTGAAACCAAAGCCCGGAAAAACTATGTCTTTCACGGACGCCCCAAGTTCGTACACGATCAACCAAACGTTAATAGAGGAAGAAGTTGCCATTGAAGATGCAGGTCAGGACGTTCTTACAGAACACAATATGATAACACAGTCATTAGCCTCGCAGGCTACATACCAACACGCCGATTCATCTGGAGACTATTCTCAGGCTGACCAGTCAAGTTCTGATGGTTTGCTTTTTGAAGCTGCTTCTTCGCCAGTTTCCAGTTACGCAAAAGATTGCGAGGGAAATTCGAGTAATGATACTTGGCTACATCCCTCACCTCTGTCGTGTCCAGTGTGCGGGCAGGAACAGGTGATAAAGCTCGGTCAAAACGCTATGACTGAACTGAACAAACATATCGACTTATGTCTAAACAAGGCAGCTATCAGGGAGATTGTATCGCAGAATAATTCATCTTCCGCTACCGAGAGCGTTATGCCATCTGCTTATAAAGGTAAAGGAGTTGAAACGGGAACTCAACGAGGAAAAAGGAAACGGAAACATTCCGATACAGCCTCAAAGAAAGCGACCCTTCATTCGTTTTGGAAAAAGGACTGAACACGGTGTAAATTAGTCTTGTTTCTAACATGCTCAACCTGACAAAGATAAGATTACCCACATACCCCTCCTTTAACCTTAAGTTAAGACTAACTTCTCACTTGGAGCAAAACTTTTGGTTAGGAAGGGGTACAAATGTTGGTAGGCGCTTTCCTAGACTCTTATGCTGATCCTCTTTGTATGAATTTGTAACAAGTCACGCCGGCTACAGCGCTTTACGCTGCTCTATCCAGGCTTAATTTGTTTTGTGTGGGCGGAAAAATGGGACCAAGAAAAAAAATGTCCGATGGGTGATGTCAGACTCGGAAGTTGTTACACTATGAAAGTATGATAGCTTAACGCCCAAATGCGTATCAGATCTATTAGATCGTCATCTTGTTAGTATTTTGGTATTGATCAAGACACAATAGGGCCATTTATACCAGGAAAAATAAGACGCGTCTTAAATAAGACCCGAACTGTACCATTTATACGAGCATGTCTTATCTAAGACGACAACGTTCGTATAAATGGTTCGCGTCTTATTTCTGTTCATGACTCGTTTTCATGTGAATGTTGCCCGTAGCAACAGCAATCCAACATGGCGCGCCAAAAATTAACGCACGCGTACTATGCGTTCGCGTCTTATGTAAGATGCGAAAGTCATACGAAGTTTTCCTCGTCTTAGCTAAGACGCGTCTTATCTAAGAACAGGTGCTAAGGGCTGTTCTAAAATAAGACGCGTCTTAGCTAAGTCGCGTCTTATTTTAGACGAAATTTTCCTTGATGCGAAAACTTTGCGTCTTATTTTTCCTTGTATAAATGGCTCCATTTGTTCTGCAAATTGGACAATTTTACCCAAGTTGAATGCGTGGACACTAAGTGAATCCTCACTCTATTCTCGATTCCAGAGCCTTCGGGGTCTGTTTGGCCGCGCAGGACTAACGCTCACGCCAGACCCTCGAGAGATTTAACAAAAATTACCTTTTTGGCAGTGACCTGATGATGATGATGATGATGATGATGATGATGATGATGATGATGATGATGATGATGATGATGATGATGATGATGATGATGATGATGATGATGATAGTAATAATAAATAGTATTTTTTATGAATAAACAACAATTTTATTCAGCTTTAAAAATATGTACATAATTTACAGAAATAATAATATTTTGAGATAAATATTAGCGATAAAAAAAAAAATTCACGACGTTTCGACCTCTCCGAGGTCATTTTCAAGTGTATAAAAGTTCTCTAAATTAGCATAAATAAGTTAAAAACAAGTTATAATAGATAAAAATGTGGTGAACGCTAAAATGTGATAAAATATGTAAAAATGTAAAAAGTGCTAAAAATGTTTATAAAGTCAAAAAACAATGGAAATAAAACAATGTTAACAAGAACTACTCTAAACAACTAATTTGGCGCGAATTGAATCGCACTGTTTGTTAAGCGTCGGGTTCAGTTCTTGGATAAAAAACATTTCAAAAATAAGACAGTCAAATTTGTTCTGACACTTTCTTAAGATTGTAAAACTTTGTGCGATGTCTTCAGGCTCCATATCATGCTGCTCTCTGAGGTGGTTTCCGATTGCCGATCCTTTGTGTTCTTCAGTTCGTTGGTGTAGGTGTCGGAAATAATAATAATAGTAATATTAATAACAACACTAACGATAATCTTTATTGAGACAACTTTTTCACACAAGTATGGTTTTCAAAGAGGATCTCATAAGATTAAAAATAGAAAATACACATTCAACTATAAAATGAAACGTACAAGATATCAACTAAAATCAGTGAATCAAAGATTTAAAGGAGCACGCTTAAAAATATATTCACATTCGCGGATTGTCTGGCTAAGGGAGTTAAAATCCTTAATCCGTAATAGCTTGTCTGAGTCGAGGTTAATTTAGGGGATACAGGATCATTAACAATATTTCCTGCGAAAAGACCCGTTCATGGGGTAAATACTGAGGCGTCATCACTTTCAATATGATAAACAGTATTACTGGCGTTTGAAAGCCTTAGGTTATTTTAGTTCGTGTTGTAAAAATAGTACAAGTCTTTAGACATAACTTGTACTATTTCCTATCTCTTTTTCTTGAAAGAGTCTAGTGTTAATTACAAGTCCATTATGCCATGCATTCAAAGTGCACTTAACAAAATTTTGGCGTATATAAGGCTCTACAATCTTGTCTTTGTTTTCCGTCTTTTGTTGTCTTCACTATATATGTTTTTCCTTTTTTGAAGTAACGTCACTTTGCGTACTATTTTTTTCACATTTTAAAGTATCCTTTCCTTGATAAATGACGTCAAACAACCTCAAACCTCTTGCGATTTTCCTTAAGTGCGCAATAAATTACTTGCGGCATTTAAAGCAAAAGGAAATGAAACGTTTTTTTCCAGTTTCAAAATGCGTAGGTTAAAACGCGTATTATATTTTGAATCTGGAAAAACTGCTTACGAGTTTCTGGTACATAGACATACTCTGCCGCATTCTTTACAGTTTAAAAGTGCTTCATAAGATCACCGCCAAAGCCAAGTGGAACTGACTGCATACGACTGATCAAAATCCACTGTACATCCCCCGAGGATATGCAGTGATCTGTTATAAGAGACAATTTACTACTCAACAAATTGTTAGTACTTTCAATTTGGAATTGGCGTTACCCCTGCGCTTAAAAGCTGCACTATTAAAAGTAACGACACCATTTTTTAGAAATAAGGACTAACTGACAGGGGTCAAATCTACTTCCTGATGTTGGGCTTATCAGTTGAATTCTCGAGAATTTCGTGCACTGTGAGAGCAATTATTGAACCGTTTTTCGTGAACAAGTTATTAATAAAAGTTGATATTCAAATGTGTCATGCCAACAGATATTTGCATAGACGCTCGCAAATGAGAAAAATACGGTGGATATCTCAAACGCCCCTCAGAAACGGAAACTTTTTACAGTGGATAATCGTTGGACTTCAGAGTTTCTAGTATTTTTCTTTACTGAACGACATTTCCTAAACAAAAGTACTGGAGACAAACACACCAGACCACTATATAGTTGATTGACGTCGGACTGATTTCCTTTATTTAAATACTGGTTTTCGAACTACATTGTTATGTTGATTTTTATCTTATTAAAACATTCGACATCGTTCCGCGACACAAGAATCTCCAAAGCGATCGAAGGAGTGACAACTTTCCCTTAAACGGCCAGTAACCGTCTAAATTTAGGCGTGATCAGATGAAGACTGCTCTGGAGGGGCCACATTGAGCCGGAGAAACTGATATCAAAGCAGAAAAGAAGACTTAGTTGTAGAACTGAAATCTATTTTCCTGTTGTATTTCCTTCATGGAACGTGCGACAATTCGCTTAATTGCACTGGTAGTTGTTTATATTTTCTACCTTTCTGTGGGTGCCGCCATCTTCTCGTCGATCGAAGGACCGTACGAACAGAGAATCTTGTCTGATCTGCGTAAGAAGCGAGACGAGTTTCTGTTAAAACATCCCTGTGTTACGGAGAAAGAGCTGGAGAATTTTGTCAAGCATGTGGTGGCGGCCCAAGACATGGGAATTCAGCCTCTTAGAAATGAGAGTGACAAGAAGAGCTGGGGATTCGGCAGTTCATTTTTCTTCGCCGGAACTGTTGCAACTACCATAGGTAAGGAAGGACAAATATTATTTAACAGGTGACCGGCAGGTATTGAAAACCCGTATCAACTAGTTAATGGTAGAAGCATAAAGAATGTGCTTAAAATTTCAATTATACAACTTTTTAGTTAGCTACTGCCGGTTCGGCAAACTACTCAACTTCTAATTTTTGTACTCGATGATAGAGGTCTCGAATTAGATGGAAATGACTGATTCATTTGTGGTTCATCTAAACAAGAAAGACGAGGAACAGAGGTGATAACTCAGGCCGCGATCGACTTCAGTGATGAGTATTATTTCCAATGCTCATTAATAAATAAGAGAAATGGTCACTTTTTATTTATTTTTAACAAAGAGATAAATTATCTTACCAAGTTAACGAGCTTCGACACCTGTCATCACATCTGCTTCCAGAAAAATCATCCAGTTCAAAAATTCTCTGTTCTGTCCAAGTAATGTCCTTCAAAATCAAAAAGTATATATTGTGGCTGGTTTTAGATTTACGAATGAGGTTTCGTCTTTTTTCGCGAAAAGTCCTGAATTCGATTTAAGCATATCGTCAGCGATCAACTGAAAACAAGATCGACTTTCAAAAGTCTCACTTCAGGAACTTTAGTTATTCAGTGATCAAGGTCAAGCGTTTTGCTTTGAGGCTTTTAGTTCTGAGCGACCAAACTTTCATGAGTCATATTGATTATATGGCACATCACAAAAACTGACTAAACTGTCGCATCTGTCTTCACCAGATCATGTACATGATTGCCAAGTAGCGCCGGCCTGGCTATGGACAGCTCAGCTGTGCACCTGCTAGGGGAACCCGAGGAGTAAAATCGAGGGCAGCTTTAGGGGGATTATGTGTAACCTTAAAAAAAATAATGTGGGCAGTGTATAATACCATCAGCTTATTTATTCAAAATACATTGGCTAGCTTTGCGCAAATTACATCAGTTACGATTCAGTTTTTGATTGGCCAATAACTTCAATATGATTTAACCTCCAAGAACATGCATACACTTTCTCCGGCTTAATAGCGACAAATGAAACCAAACCTGGGAAATACCTCTGCTCTCGATGGCTATTTAACAAATCGACCACAATGTTCCACGGTCTTCACTCTTATAGACCATAGAAATGACGTCATAGAATGTTTAAAACTCAAGTTGAACCACAAGCCGCAGGCGAGTGGTTTCACTGCAAAGTTTTGAACATTTTATGGCGTCATTTTTATGGTCTACAAGAGTGTAGACCATGGAAAATTGTGGAAAATTTTTTTTTTACAATAACATTTAGTTTTTTACGAAAAACAAAAAACCGGCACTGCGTGACATGTTACGTCATTTCCATGGTCTACACTCTAATTGACCATAGCTCTCGACTAATCATCGCGCGAGGATTCGCTCAGTTGTTGTAAAAATCTTATTGCAATGGACACCGTCTCGTACAGCATTTTTGGCTTTACTTGACGAGTGCTTCGAAGGATCACACAAGATGAGGAGACTAAAAGAATGCAAAAAACTAAACGTAGATTTTGAGAGAGAAACCTGGATACTAGACAGTGAATTGTTGATGATTATACAAAGTTTTTTTTTTTTCTTTTCAGGGTATGGTAATGTTTATCCATTATCTGAAGGTGGCAAGGTGTTCTGCATGGTGTTTGCAGTTTTTGGTATTCCCATGACAGCTATAATGCTGACAGCCATAGTGGAGCGTCTACTGCAATTAGCAGATTACATTGAGAAGTATCTATGCAGCAAGTGTACAGTGCGCGGGGTTCCGCCGGCGTATCTCCGCTGTCTCCATCTGTCACTCATCATGTGCGCCGCCATTGTACTTGTTATTATAATTCCTGCTATTTTCTTTATGTTACTCGAGGACTGGAGCTACTTTGAAGCGCTTTACTTCTGCTTTATTTCACTGACCACCATAGGTCTTGGAGATTTTGTTCCTGGTGACTCTCCAAGCTGGCGAAAGAGTGACTATCGTCCTCTTTATAAAGTTTGCTGCGTGTTTTTCTTCGTAACCGGACTCACTTTCTTACTTTTGATACTTGAACTTTGCGCCAAGGTCCCGGATGACCATCCCGGTATGCTTTTCTCGTGTCACAAGCCGTTTATCCGTGAAGAGGAAGATGAGGTTGAACAAAATGGAACTAGATTACGTCCAAGATATTCAATATCCAGTAGGGGAAGCAGCTCATCATCTCCCCGGGAGAAAGAAAACGAAAGACCTTCCAGGAACACGTACGAAAGAATATCTTCTCGTGATAATAATCGGTGATACTGCTAATTGTCTAATAATGTGTTGCTCGTTACTTTATTTTTTTGTAAGTAATAGCATAATTTGGAGTGAAATTAAAGCAAGAGTGACGGAAGCCCTGCCGGATTAAAGGGCCGGGGGAGGGTGAGTGGGATTAGCACAACTAGCGATCGGGAAGTAATAGATGAGGGTAGGTGTACTGTGGTATCAGAGTTGCCGGTGACTTTTATTATTCGACATAATATATCAAATAGAGTAGTGCAGTGAATTTATATTATAGTAATAATAATAATAATAATAATAATAATAATGATAATAATAATAATAATAACAGTGATAATAATAATGCTAATTCAAATACAAACTGATAACAGATTGATAGTTTAATAGGATCGTTACTGAAGAATGCGAATCTAATTTGGCATAAGTTGGTACTCCAGCGAGAAAAAGGGGTGTTCTGTTTTTGCTAAACTGTTTTGCGATTCTTCTGAAAAACGCATTTTTTACAACGCAAAAAGATAAAAAAAGGAAAATGGAATATGACGGGTGAAAATTGCGACAGGGATGCTTTTAACATAATGCTCAGTACCTACCTGAAACAAAATATCGTCAAACGCAAAATTAATATTAGTTTTTTGATAAGTCTTGCAGTAGTTTTCTTGAATTAATTATTACCCCAACTTTCGCTTTTGTTTTTTTTTCGCGGAGAATGAGTGCACCTGTTCCATGCATAAATGCCTGGTTGTTGCGTTTTTGGGACGTGGTTTCCTTAGTTAGGAATCTCTGTTAAGTATTTCGTCAATGCTATTATTTATCATTGTGAATATTAGTCTCGCTAATGTTCTGAGATCCATGTAGAAATTCGGTAGGCGTAAACGAGCACGCGGTGACGGGGGGAAGGAACCGGGGAACACATGACACGATTCCTCTGCATACTCCTCCCTCTCTCCCTTTCAGCTGCCGCCTGCGACGAGTGTTAAAACAATTACCATGAAAAGAGCACGTAGTTTTTGTAGTTACACACGTGACTGTTCTGGGTTTCTTTTGAATCGTAGTCAATTCATGTCCTCACGCTACCGCTACTTTGGAACAAAAGGCGAACGGGATTTGGTGTTAGAAACAGAGCGCTACCTGATTGGTTGTTACCAAGCGAATTTTATCTTGTTTAATCTTGAGAAAGCACCGTAAAGACGCCACAAGGCTGAACATGCCATCATTGTTATTAGTTCAAAATGTTGTCTCTAACGTTCACTTCGCTTAAGTAAAGGTTATTTTTTAAATCGTTGTGTTTGTCGTTTGTAATTCATGGAGATTCTTGATCTGCGGTCCCGAAATTGTGTCTGGGGTCATTACTGGGGACGTGACGGTCATCTATTAGTCAATTTTTTTTTCCTGTTCCGAGTGTTATACAGTCCCAGAAGGCTTTGCGAAAGTTAACTCGGCTCAGTCTCCTTCTCTTTTCTATTAAATTGGCGAAAAGCAAAAGCATCATGTTAGTTGACACCTTTACGAAACAAACAAACCTGTCCGGTTTGAGCTAGTTACGAACAGGAATGGTGTTCGTGAGTAGTTCAAAAGAAGTTTTTTTAAGCCAGCCTTAGTCGATTTGTATACCCAGAGAACAAGTGTCCTTATTGAACGCTCGTGCGCATCGTCTTTCATTGTCCATGCGCATCCTTACTTCCCATGTATCTCATTTGTCAACGTCATCCTTGATTTCAGAGCCCTTTTTTTTCTTCGGGAAGGGCTAAGTCATGCGCAATGGAGAAGAGTTTTGGGATAGAAAATGGTAGCAATGCAAGGCAACAGTGACAGGGAACGTATATTTCGACCTCGGACACGCTAACGAAATCGACACAAGTTAATTTGGTTAAATTCCACTCAATTTATGTCCACGCGACATCCAAAACGCTTACTGACAGGTTCCCTGCACATCAATTAGCTAAATGACCAACTACATGTTACTCACACAAAATTTAAAATTGAAACTTTTGGAGATTATTTGTAACTAATATTTTAGGCCAACTTACAGACATTGGGCCAGTATCTAACCGCGGCAAATACATCAACAGAAAAGAAATGTTAGAAGATTTCTGCGGGCACGTTTGTTCAAATGAATCAGAAAATCTACAGTTTTGTGCCGCTTTTACTTTCGACGCCGGCGTGTTTGCTTTGGCTCTCTATAACAACAGCAGGAAATTTGTAAGTTGAAATCAGGAAAGCAACAGGGCCGAGTTGTTCAAAGCCGGGTTAAGATAACCAAGGGTTAGTGCGAGATTTGAATTCAAATTTGAAAGCTTAAAAAGCATTTCAGTTTTAATTCTTTTTGTCTAAAAGTTGATGATTGAAAGCTCTAAATATAACAGAGAAATTTATCCGAGAAAATGCTTTTGAACACAAGAAAGAGAAGCCCGGGTTAAATTTAACCCTGGGTTAAGGGCTAATCGGCCTTCGAACAACTGGGCCCAGGCTATTAAACACGATTAAAGACTCAATTAAACACTGTTCATATGCTTCCAAATAAATTTATTAGTGATCCATAATATAGTATAACTTCATTCAGTAAGTTTTAATAAGTAAATAACATATTAAATAGTGTCCTTCTAATAAATACCTAATAGATTTATTTCATAACAAGTGTGAATCTGCATTTGTTTTCAAAATAAATAATCTTTTAATTTGCTCTGTATAGGAACTGTTCCCAGCTGAACATTTGAACCTATTTAGAAATATATTCGTGTTTACATCTATGAGTTTAGAGAGAAAGATTGCCTCAGCTGTTATGAAAATATTTCAAATCGGCATAAATGATCAAGTGAAAACAGCCATTTAAATTTCCCAAACATTTTACACATACATACACCTTAAACCTCGAAGGAACTGCCATGCAAACTCGCTCTACCGGACAACCGCTTTTTTAATAAAACGGTGAATTTTATTTTCCCGACGAAAAAGTTCATATCTTTTCTTTTAATACGTTGACCCGCTCAATGCGGACACTAGAACTGACCTACTTTTACGTGATCCGAGTGACATGCTGAGATCACACAATGTTAATCTTGCAGCTCAGTTACAAACACAGGTGATCTGCACGGCAATATATACCTATATGTTACCAATGGCAATGTTGGGGTTCAATTTTATCCTTGATTTAAATTTTATTTTCCTTTGTTTTAAACTCATTATCACACATTACCATACCCCAACACAAAAGTGAAATAAAATTTAAACCAAGGATAAAATTGAACCACAACAGCAACATTAGTTTCGGTGAAAGTTTGTTGAAGTTTTAACATGCTTTATTCCTTCAGTTGGTGAAACATAAGTCCGTTACTCCGTCTATTCTGAGTCCGTATGAACCAGGCGGTTTCACTACATATTGCCGGTTTTAGTTTTCTTTATCTCCTCTCCACTCTTCTTGAAGCGTTATTTATTTTCTTTCTATACACAAACTTCCCCAGCTTCAGTGATATCTCATCGATGTCAATTTGAAAACCTGCTCTATACAAAAGTATATTTTCAAACAATTTGCCCACCGATCTTGCATCAGGTTTGTGCGAGCAAAGGGCGTGCCATTCCCTGTACAGTAGTTGCACAACTGCTGACGTGTATACATACTAATGGCCGCATTTATACTAGAAGACGTCTTAAACGTCCAGACGCATTAAACGTCTGACTGTCAAGTGCGTCCCGTTTTTCTACTAGACGCCTTAAACGTCTGAGACGACTAATTCATCTGTTAAGTGCGTCGATCGGACGCACTTAACTTCAGACGTTTAATTCGTCTGACGATTAATGCGTCTGCCTTATTTCCCGTACTTATACTAGACGTCTTAGTCGTCTAAGACGTCTTAGACGTCCTCTAGTATAAACACGGCTAATCTCTGCTTCTTTCTGTTTATGTTTTAACCTCTCTACAAAGGCCACTTCCCTACCAAGGATATTTTTTCTCTGTCCCAGGCCAGGGTGGCCATTGCAGAGTGGTCCACTGTCTGGATAAATGAATTCTTTCCTTTACCAGTTTACTTGGCTAACAAATGCAAGAAACGGGGTTATAAGACCAAACTGCAACAGATCTGATAACTGCGGGAAAGAACTAAAGCTGAGGAAGGATGTTTAATGGATGGTTTAGAACACACACAATAAAATATATCACTATCTCTGATTCTCAGTTATAAAGTGGTTTTTCATTCATGTCTTTTTTTACGGGTGTTTGTCTTCAATTTGTTGTTCAAAAACGGGAAAAAGCCTCTTCAATGTGATGGGAAAAAACATACAAAACAACATAACCACCTTCTGATCTCTACAACAGAATCCTCGTTTCCTTAAAACTCCCGCGTCTCCTCCCATCCCCTACTATTCCCCAATATTTTGTGAACCGGCTGCCGATACATGGAAACAACCTCCCATTCCCCCGCAAGGCAGGGGATCCGTAAAATCGGGATTCCACTGTAATGGACAGTTATTGTAAAACAGAACAATGATTATTATTGCAAAACCCATTGAAACTGACAAGAGACCTTGTTGAGATATTCTAGTTACCGTCTTGAACTCAACTATAAAGGTATTTTCAAACTATGCCTATGCAAGAAAATACAGTTCCACTTACAGTGGACGCCGATATAACGAGGGGCCTAGAAACTGAAAAGACCGTTCATTAAAATGGGGAGTAGTGTTCCATCTGGGACCGTAACAATATCATTCGCTCTACTGTGGCTTTGTAACCAAGGAAAAAGAATGATCCAGAAAAATCAACGCGCTCAAGACTGAAAGGATTATAAGTGAAAGTAAAGGTGTACATTGTCTGAGTCATTATTCTGATGCTTTTTTAATTTTCTACAAGTTTTGCCATTAATCCTCTTGTCTTTCTTACAGTGGGCTGTTCATATAACACACTTTGCCCAACAGTCAAGTCAACAGTCAAGAGTCATTAAACAGCAGCTGTGTGGGAAATATGAAGTGTAGAGCAAAACAGAGTCATGTGTAGGAGAGAAAGAAGCAAATTTAACTTAATACCAAGTCTTTCCGCAAAGATTCTATGACATACACATACAGCATTTTATGTCTTCACATGGCGTTTCTTTCCTTATGTAACCATTGTTATTCATTCAAAATATTTATCCATTTATATTGGCTTAAATCCCCCTTGCAAATTCTACTTGACCAGCAAATGTGACCAAATTTATATGCTGTAAATTTACGTCCGACTGCTCTACTATCTTGGAGCCTGAGAAAGGCTACGTTAGATGCCAAACGTGAACTTATTCGACTGAAAAAAAGAATTCACAGACGACACAGACAGAAGCGTAGAGGTGGCTCAGCTGCCTTGGCAGAACAGGGCTGGGGACACTCGCAGAAGATTTCACAAGTTATGCCTCGAAAAAACAGCAAGAATACGCAACACTACCACTTGACGAATGACCACTGCTATATGAAGAATAAACATCCTTTCATATCCTGAAACTACCGGCAAAGATGGGAGCTTTACAGAGAGGTACATGTAGGCATGTTTTGAGTTATGCAATATTCTGAATGAATAATAAAGCAATTATTGAATTCGGCTTTCGCATGATATGAAGAATTATGCAGATCGAGATCTGTATAATTCTTCATATCATACTCCGCCTCATCCAATAATTCATGAATGGAATTATTTTTAACAATGTGAATTTATTTCAATTTACTGGTTATCTTTGCTATTTGGGCAGATTGTCTTCTTCAATAATTGATCCATTCTGCACAAACCTTTCCCTGTTGGATTCAACACAATCATGTGATAGTTAGTTACCATGCTACTCGTGAATCATATGCCACTGGTCAATAGGGCAGTGCGGATTACAAACCACCTGACTCCAGTGGTCAAACTCCGGTCCATCTCCTGCTGCTGCAGCAGTACTTAGTACAACTTGACCAATTCGCTCATGGCATCCACTTGAGTCCTGAACTAGAACTGTGAACATTAGAGTCATATGATCAAGCGACATCTTTCCTCCCAAGTCAAACGTAAATGTTTGAGCAAACTTAGGATTGACAGTTTTCTTTTTTACTCTGGTCTTTTTCTTGGCAACACGATGACTGGCAGAGTATAGTTCAACCTTAACATACGGATCTGGAAAGAGAGTGACCAACATCAATTTTCTCCCAACAATATCCATACATCAACAAGAGATGCAGGTTATGAGAATCAATGAAATGATCACTGGCAAAGAAAAAATACTTCAATAATACAGTTGAATTTTATCAAATTCTCTCACCTAATTCTTTATGGAAATGTATGTAGATCAGTCTGGAAAATTGATATGTGGATATTGGGGCTTAAGGGGTTAAAAACCTTTTTTCACTTGCGCTCCACTTTCCTTTAGAGTTTGAAGTTGACCTAATCTTTAATGTACTAACCACTTCACTGGTAAGTGAGTATTCAGGAACCTGAGTTTTGAGCAAAATCCGAGGATGGGTGTCACGTTTATGAGAAGTGACTTGGAGAAACTGTTTGGAGTATCAGATCTGTTTTCAGTATTCAAGCTTACAATAATAAATCAAGATGACGTACCAAACTGTTTAAACTTCTCTCATCTGAGGAGGTCAAACGCATGATCTGGGTACATTGTATAACACATTAACAGCTACTTTTCTCCCAGACATGTACCTATCAACCACCCATCCCTCTATCCCTGTACCCTCAACCAGATTAAGAATCCCCCGTCATAATTTAAAGAAAAAGACCAGTGTACCTCCTATATTAAGACTGCTAATCTTTGGCAAGTTCCGTGCTTCTAACACAGTCACAGACAGTTTACTGGACAGAGGCTGATGGCATACTGATATATGTAGCTCTCCAAGGATCTGCAAAATCGAAAAGTGAATGCTTTGAGGATCTCACAAAAGTCATTCTAAACGTCTTTGATCTCAGAACATAACAGAAAGACAGGATTCAACTGAAAACAAAATCTAAATACACAAAGTTCACACTGTCGATAAAAGAGGGAACCAATCAGTAGATTTCATAGTAGTTGCCCCTCAGCCACCAGGTAGAGTTGTTATGGGCAGTCTTGAGTCTAAGGGGAGAGGATTCTTTCACTTGATGTATTTAAAGAGTTCTTGAGGAAAATGAAGAAACGTGGTACGTTAATCTTTTAGCATTAATTACTAAACAATAACTTGATGTACAAGTTGACTAACAAAAATTAATGTTCGATTTGGCAAACTGAAATTTTTTTCTCTGGTTGCCAGATGATGCCTGAAAGTAAAAATTAAATTTGGGCCCTGTTCATCAGTAACCGGATAATCCATTTTAGAGTCAAAAATAAGTTGTAATCATGTTTGTCAAGCCATACAGTTACATATTTTAACACATTAAAAAGGGCATTAAAAAGAAAGTCTCTCTTACATTTTGGAACTGATGTGGTCGAAGTTCTCTCCAGACATTGACCTCATCTCCTGTCAAGTCCATTCCACCCAATGTCAGCATCACTTCCCCTATAACAACATTGCGGGACACAGGCTGGTGATGTATAACCAAGAAGTGTAATGCAAGTTGTCGCACTTCAGACAGTGTAAGGCCACTGATGATAAACAGTTCATTCCATATGGGATTCAAGTTCTTTTCTATTACTGTTGTCCTGTGGTTGTGTCTACGTGTTGGGAGGGCGTATACTCGAATGTAAGGACAAGAAGTGTTGTTGCGTAAGTCTTTTGGAGGCAATTCACGAGCCTGCAGAATCTAGGGACAAAAAGAAAGAAATAATTACAACCTGCCTTAATGCATCAAGATGCTATTAACATCCTGGCATTAAAAAAAACTAAAAAAATGATAATAGTTGCCTCAAATCTCAACTAATAACTTCAAGAAGTACAGGCATTGGAGGAAAAAGCATGCTTTTTAATAAGACCTCAAAGACAGACCAGCCAAAAATTCAAGCTCATTTATGTGCCACAGTAGCGTCCGGTCCTCTAACTAACCCCCAGTTAAGCTTTCTAGGTCAACAAAATTTGAACAAAATGAGCCATTTTAGAACCAAAAAGGTCAGGAAACTATTTAGAAAAGCATGCAAGGGTACTAAATAAGGGGCAGAGTTGGGCATTTTCCTTTCTGCTGTTCCAGGTAGATGCATCACACATAAAAAGAGAGCCCCAAAAAAGAACCAGGGAAGTAACACCAAGATTTTCCCTGAAAGATTGGTTAACTTATTGAAAAAGTTTGAATTTCCCTTTTTTCCGTGTGAATTCAAAACTTTACACAACTCATCTAGCTTTTTGTTTAAAAAATCCAGTTTATTCAAAGCGAATAGTTACCTTTACAAATAAGTCACATGTAGTTTGTTTATACTGCAGAGACACATTAAGTCTGCCTAATCCACTTTGACAACTTCTTCGCTTTGTCTCTTTGTGAATCACTTGGGAAGGAATATTTACAGAAATCTTGCCAAGACTTGCTTGTCTACTTTTTTCTTCACTGGAAACACCTGTGCTTCCTTTCCTTCTTGGTGCTAAACTTCTGTCAGTGCTACCTTTTCTCTCTTGACTTGATCTCCCTGGTACTGAAACATTATCTAAACTACGAGAAGGTTTAGGTGCCTTCCGAACTGGAAGAACCTGCGAATCAGAATGACTTTGTCCACTGGGTTCCACATCAGACACAGCTGTTTTACTACTCATGTCGTCTCTAGACTCTACTCGTGTAATGGTTATAAGAGGTTTAACAGGAATGGGTCTCACAAACTCAAATGACTTGCTGCTACTTTTGGGGAAATTCTTTGGAGATTTGACATCAGAACCTTTTCTTTGTTCATATATACTTTCCGAACTCTCCCCACTTGAGGTACTAAGCTGAAGAAGAGATGATCGTCTAACTGTTGGAACATTAAGAGCCTCAAAGCTACCTAAACTATGCCGCTTTTCTGATAGTCCTCCATCATCGGGGGCTGTCCGATAGGAGCCAGAATCTTCACTGAAAAAAGATTTCTCTTCTAAAGGTGAAGTCTGTGCAGAAGTTGCACTACTACTATTGCGTTTTCCATGATGAGAATGCTGCACAAATTTCTGTACAATTCTTGGTACAAAAGGTGGAATATATGGGTCATGAGAGGAGTGTCTATCTCTCCTCCAAAGACGGGGTTCTTGTGAACGATCCTCCTGCTTCCTTCGACAGCAGCAGTAGACCATGTATATTGATACCAGAACCACAACTGGAATTCCTGTTGCTAAGCCAGCTGCCAAGACCACTAACAAAACAAAGGAAAAAGAAGAAAAGGAAAAGAAATAAATAGTAAGTAAACATTTCACAGCAAAAAGCTGGCTGAATTCATAAGACCAGTAGCCTGTAAAATACAGCCATCTCTTCTTGCTCCTTGCCATTTGACACCAAAAATTCCAGCTATTGAGAGACAGCTGTATATCCAGGCTACAAGACCAGTTAAAAGAAAAAAATGGTCCAATGATGATAATAACAACAGAAAGATAAGAAACAAAACCAGTGACAATAAAACTGCAAGTTGTTTCTAACAGAGAAAGCATTTCAGTTACTAAGTAGAATACAATCCCATTTATTCAGGGTAATAAAAATTGAATCAACCATAGTAATAAACAGTAATATGGAGTATTTTAAAGCTAACATTCATTTAGTAACATTTAGCTTTTTCTTAGCTCGGCTATGAATTTTTGCAAAAAGATTTTTTGTACCACTAAGCCCATGCAACTGTAATATGGGATCAGAGAAAAGAATCACGGATAATTGACAATTTTATTATTATTATTATTATACTCCCATTAGGAGGAACTATGAAACAAAATATACATGTACTTTTCCTTATTCAAATGTGCAAACTATTGTGACAACACCTGATAAATACTGTGGACTTTTATTATTTAGAACATTTAGACAATCATACATTGTATAACCGAATTATTCATCACTTACCTGAATTATTCATTTCAGTGGTCATCAGTAGTCTAGTAGAGCTTGACAACGTACTATAGAACACCTATAGGAAATTTTAAAAGTAGAAGTAATTTAGTGGCTGCAAATAATAATAATTATTATTATAGTGTAACCTGCAAATACAAGGTTACATTTGAAAGTGAAATCCCAGGTCCACACTTTGAGCAAAACTGGACTCTCTACATTGTTACCGCTGATAATTACTTCTAAGTAACTGTTGGAAAGAATTACATGGGTGTGAATATCTCAGCCACTTGGCTGAATTTTATCCCTTGACTTATTTAAGTTTTTGAATTAATCGGTGTTCTCACCAGACTGTGACAATGCAGGATTCAAGCACTTTTTAACGAAATGGCACACTTCAAAATTCCTTAAGGGCCCCCAAGGCGCAGGACTGTAGCTTCTATTAAAAAGTCAATTTCAGTTGTGAATAGACAACAGCCCAAATAAAATCCACATTACATTTTAGATGGCAAAATCCCTTGTAAATCAAAGATTGACTGTTTTTTGTTGGCTAAAACCACATGCTCTCACTTTACAAGTCTGCCATCTTGAATTGTCACAAATTATGCTTATGAGGAAAGATGTCCAGACAGCAAAATCTTGACCACCTCGTTCTTTCAATCAAGGGTCAAACAGCTGAGGTTATATCTGTTGTAGTTCAATTTTGCTCATGGTACAAATTGTGTTTGTACTAGTACAATTATTTATTTTCAGTTTCTCTTGGGGCCATTTTAACTCCCAAGAGAAACTGAAGACAATGCTAATGCAAAATTTTGGGGTGACAAACAAAGAGCATTATGGTGTGGTGTGTATTTCTGGAGTGGTCAATAATAATTTGTTATTAAGAGAACTGTACAAACTTTGCTAACAGTTCCATACAATACAGCAAGGTTTATTTTTCTTCAGACACAGTCAATTAAAATGCATTAATAAATGTACAATAGTTCCTCCCTAAGAATTACTGTAGTTGATGATCACCATCTGAACCTATTAATATGATTTCCCTATTTATTTTGATCAAGTTAGTAGGCAATATTTTTATTATAATTTCACAAAGTTGAAAATAAAAGGCAATAACCAACAAAATCTGAAAATGTTAGTTATATGATGTGTCTTACTTATATCTGACCCATTGTTAAAAAACAAATGGGCGGCATCTTTGGCAGTACCAAAAGGTCAACGAGCAAGTTTTATTTTTTTTCACACGTGGCTAAAAGAAAAAATTTTCCTCTGGCCTTACAGTCCTTTTTATCTGTCATGCTGTTTCAACCTAACCCATTTGCCCCTGAACCGCCCTTAACCACCTGTGCAGATCCACATCCCTTCTACTTATTGTGACGTCATCAGTTTTAATGGTCAAGGACAACTTTGTCTGCTAACTTGTGCAGAGTTAAGAGATCTTTCAAACCAAATCAGAATGAGCACAATTCAGTCAAAGACACTGGAGAAAAAGGCAAAAAACCATGTAACATTGACCTGAAAATTTCCATGAAAATCTTCTTCCACTACCTGCCTACCTTCCCTCTCATTTAGTAACATTTAGCTTTTTCTGAGAGAAAGGGAAAAGTAAAAGTCAAGACTGCTGAGTCACTTTTAAACCCAAAAACTATCTCGCACTTTTACTTTCTGCGCATGCCTGAACTTCACAAGCTAATATTTTGCATCTGGATCAGAAGGCTGCAAAGTGTATGACCTGTAAATAGCTTTATGGTAAGTTTTAGGTCTTATAGCACAACAGTGTCTAGACAACCGCTTGACTAGCTTCAAAACACATTTTTGGCAAATTTTTCAGGGGCGTAATGGAGTACAGTGGAAGCTTTCATAAGCAGACACCCTCAGGACGAGAAAAAGGAGTTGGTAACTTCCGCATACAAGAATGGTTCCGGTATGTGGCCACTTGAAATGTAAGGATTAGATGGCTGCTTACCGGAGCTTGCCAGGTTACAAACAAATATTGGGAAAGCAAAAAACTGTTTGTTAGTGTTTGGCTATACTGTTTTTCTGACGACACTGTAATTCAGGCAAAAAAAATAAAAGTCAACTGATGTTTTGAAGTAAACCTGAGGATGAGTATTTGAAAAAAACAAACTCTGAAACTGATATAAATGGCAAAATGATGAGTGTAAAAATAAAGTATATATATGTATAAATTCATTGTGACAAACAGCGATATGAAAAAAAAAAAAAAGATTCAGAGGTGAATAAGATTTCATTTCAGGTGTCCACTTATAAGAGCTAATTAAAAACAAAGCCAACATCTAAATTGTAAATCCTGAAAGTGTCTGCAGCCCCTATGGGAATGTCCGCTCACAGGAATGTTAAAATACAGAGTTTGAAATAGAGTTGAAATGGCTGTAAGTACAGCTGTCCGCTTACGAGTGTCCGCTAAGAGACCTGCCGTAATAAAATATGGCATTGAACAGATTTTACAAATAGACTATGAATAGAGGTTTTGTAAAATTGCCTTTCAAAAAATGGCGAACATTTTTGGATAAGCATGGACAAGAGGTTAATTGTCAGAGAAAAAAATTTGGTTTTCAAAATCATGAACATGGGTAATGTGCGGATGGGGACTTATAGTCACTTGATCTTTCCTTATTTTAGTTGTGGGAATTAACTGAAGGTATCTGTGGAAAAATTACAGCATTAGAATTATTTTACAAAAGCATATTATTTTCAAAGCAAAACTAATGGCATACAAAATAGTCCACAAGGCGTTCCGGGAATTAGGTTTAACTTTAAATTATATACTTCTTGCTAGCAATTTGGAATCTGTAATTCCCAACTAAAGAGAAAATATTAAAAATATGCTTTAAATCAAATACGTAATAAAAATTGAGATACACCTATTATTAAAAGTTTGATTTGGCTAACTACTACACCATCTGAAATAAATTAAGGAAATGTCTTTGTTATTCACTGACAAGACACCTCCGTGATTCATCACTTTTAAAATGAGCACATAACAATAAATGAAATTCTCGTTTGTATTGTTGTGTTGGCAATGTAGTGAGAAAAATACTACACTGGTCGCCACTGGCTGTACACATAAAAGCTTCTGACAATACCCTGAAAAACTAGCGATTATTGCCACTTCTCTTGTCAAAATGAAAAAAATACCGAGCTAAAAGATTATTATGATAAAAAAAGAACATGCCAATGTTAGCAAGAGTTGTTATATTTTTGTTTCCATTTACTAGTCTTTCGTACTACTTTACATAAGCAATGAAAGAATACTTGTCATCAGTGAACGAAAAATAAAATAAGCTTAATGTATTTATTTTTCTCCGCGACACCGATCTTAAATCTGCCAGATATATCTGCAGCTGCATGAGAAAAAATTGTCCTTGTGGTCTCTCCTATACACCTGCTCGGAATGGCGACAAAAGTTCCAAAGCACAGAAATCGCGCGATGGTTTCTTACTGATAGTGGGAGAAAAATAAAAGCTTATTAACCATGTTCAGTGTGGTTTCTGCATGTAAAAGAATCAAAACACCCGCGCATCGGTAAAACTGTGTAAACCTAAGCGAGGTAAAAAGAACACGCGTTGTTCAAATGAAACGATCTCAGTTCAGTCTTATCAATAGAATAGTGTAAGAAATTTCATTTAATGGAAAAAGGCTCCAAAAATGGCTTTACGAAAGCGGCCAAAATATACACCGCCAACCTTCATGTAACTGTATTAAGGCAAAAACACACTCACACACGATACAGTACAAGGTAAAATAAATAATTCATTGTTGACATTTGTCTGTGCCCTATGGGTCGTAAAACTGCTCCAACACAATTTTTGTCAGAACCCGATTATTTTCCCCGATAGTGCTGTTTTTAGACATTGAAAAACAAAAACTGTTTCAAGAAAAATACCACGCTTGGCTTTAGCCCAATGAATGGTATAAAGCAGATAATTAAAGCAACAATCGCGAAAAGGTTGATAAAGATGAAGTTCAACGTGAAAACTCTCAATCGCCCTTACAATAAAAATTCGGCATTGATAGGGAATACTTTTATATATTTTTTAGAGAAATATCCAGCCGCTCTACGTCGAAACCAAGAATAAACGAGGTTCCAGTAACAAAAGAACATTATTTTCACGCCTTTCAAAGGGAAAATGACGATCCTATTTGATGCACAATCTTTTAATTCGATTTTTCCACGAACGCATAACGACAACGTGAAACCGGTGTGTAAAATTAAACATTAATGTCGCCATTTCGAATTTGTCTTTTCGCTCAAAAGTTTCGAAGAAACTTACATTATTTTTCAGCACAGCATTTTGTTTCTCACAAGCGCCCTGAATCTGATCTTACGTTTATTATGGTCAGAATTATTAACTGACATTCACTCAGCTCACTCCATTAAACCCACATTCTGAACAATTTGAGTTTAAAAAATAGCGCGATTTCTCAATAAAAACAGAGAGTTCAAACTTTTTACAAACCCAAACAACACTTGCTTACCTCGTATAGTGGGAAGTTCGGTCTGATCGACGAACAACGACATCAACATGGCAGCCATTTTCACCCTGTTCGTGAACTGGAAGACTTGTGCGTCCCATCATAACCAGAAAGTAATGAAACGTAAGTACACAAAATTCATACGCTCAATGGACATGTTCATATAGCAACAGCAGTCGAGATTACCAGCTACGGTGAAAACCCAACAGTGAAAACACTAAAATTTGATTTTTAGGACGTAGTTTACAGGAGGTTAGCGAATAAATGCTGCGTTGATGTCAGAAATGACAAGTGCAGGAAAGGATTTCCACCTGATTCAAGCGTTCATTATGGAGTTCAAACAGCCCGTATCCGCTTTTAGTTCCGGAATAAATATGCTTTACGAATACATAATAAGCTACAAGAGCCAATGAGCTGCAGGCGCATAATGGCAAATCCTCACTGATCTATTTAAATTTTAAAAGCTTTGGTCCGGCGATTGTGGGAAGAAAAGTAAAATAAGGCAAAAACCATTTGACCATTCGTCGGCGCTTCTCCATTCAAATGCAAATCACATCCTATCACGGTCGTCAATGTTTGTAGTCAGTGATAAAGTATGATGCAGAAAGCGTTTGTCAACGTCTCTTGAAAGAGGAACGTTCTCATGACTTAAATCTTGTATTAAAATATTCGCCTGATTCCCATTGCCGAAAACATCAGAACTAAGATTCCGGACATCCATCATTTTTGTCAATGAGTCGGTGAGATTTTCAACCGCCACCACGTTGGCGTCTAAAGTTTTGTCCAAACAATTTACATGTTTACAGCACAGTTCTGTTATTATAAACATCATCCAAGCAGTGAACGGCAGATGGAGCTGGTCAAAATGAGTCCCGGTCAAATTGGACGCTTTCTCCTCCGAACTTTGCTAGTGCTTTGCCGGAGGAGTTTCACCACAGTAACCGCAACATCAACCACAGGTCACCTACATTCCTGAGCCTGACGTCAGCGGTGCTATCGTGAACGAAGATCAAACATGGCGTGGGAATGGCGGGCAAATTAATCTCGTAGACGTTTGTGTGTCAGAAAAATTTGGGGATTACCATGAGCAATCGCAAAAAACAGCGGGTGTGCCCCAACCCACTCTTCCTGAAATGGCTTGAAGATTGGCGGGACGAAGCAAAGGAGAAAAACTCTAAGCTACAATACACTTACGGCAAGGTAAAAGAAATCTCATTTCGAGACCACAACAAGATCAGAATATAAAATACATGTAAATCGCCGGGACAAGGGGATTATGGGAATTGAAATGAACTGTGGTTTATGAGAAGTGATTGGAAACACACCGAATGTACACCTGACTGGCTTTTAGCGTGTATGCTGCTTTTTTAAAGACTCAAAAGTTACCATTTACAGTCGAACTTGTGTTAAGTGGTCACCCTCGGGGAATGGCTAAGTCAGGGCTCTCAACCCCCCACGTATTCAGATATTGAGAATTGATAAGGGAGGGTGATAGATGATGTCACAATGCACGAAACATGACGTCATTTGTGCAAAAACACGGGCAAAAAAGACGTTAATTTGTTGGAATAGTAACATTTGACCTGATTGGTTTACTTAACAACCAATCACATTATCACTTATATTACAATGGCATACCAAAGTTTCCGAACAAGTAATTGACACTGTGTGACCATTTAATACAGGTCAAGACAATAGAAAAAGTCCCATTGGGACTTCGCAAATGGTGACCATGACCATTTAATAGAGGTGACTGCTTAATAGAGGTCGAAATTACAGTACATAAAGAGAAGTAATTTTTGAGACTTTGAAAAATGACCACTTAATAGAGGGTGACCTCTTAATATGGTGCTGCTTAATACAAGTTCAACTGTACATAGGAACTGGAAATTCCGGTTTATAGAAAATCAAATTCTTCACGCCATTCTGTTTGAGAAGTAGCCTGCGTAACAGGCGCTTTATGAGCCAAGCGAGGCAAACACGGCCATTTGCGTGAAGCATGAGGCAAGGGGAAGAGATAAAGAAACAGCTCCTGTTACTTGAGTCCATTGTTCTGACTCTTCCGCTCACCTACACCCACAAATATTGACTGACAGCAGTGATGTCAATTAACAGAGTTCACCAATCAAAACACAATCCATTATATGCGCAAAAGTTGCCACCTCTCTTGCTACCAGAAATACCTACAGTAGCATAAACCACAGGAAATAATTACTCAATTAGTACAGGTAATCACATGATTTCGAGTGCAATTTGGAATAAATAGGCAGGAGTAAATTTTTTCAAAGGCTAACAAAATTGCACGAGCCCGTAGGGCGAGTGCAATTTGTGGTCTTTGAAAAAATTTACTCCTGCTTATTTATTCCAAATTGCACGAGAAAAATTATGTGATTACTTATTAATAATATTCATGAAAAAATTGTGAGATAGCTTTAAAATCTCTTTAATAGGGAGTCAACCCGCGTAAACTACGTGCAAAAATAAATTATTCAAATGCTGCAAATATCATCACACGTGCAATCAAAACAACATTTTGCTCGATGTTTTTAAAGTTTGCAAGCTGCAGAAACGGGCTGAACAGTTCATGGAATTGTTCAATGTGTTTGAAATAAAGATTTTGGGTTATTACCTTGACTTTTCCGCCCTTCCAGAGAATTTCTTCTTCCTCCTCTGATACTTACCGAGCTTTGTTTGGGCGCTTACCACGGCCAGCCAAGCGAAGCTGTTTTGCTTTTTCCTCCAACACCTCTTTGGACGAACTAAATTCTCGGTCACATACAATGGACAGGGTGCAGCCTTTGTTCTTTAAGTGTCTATCAAGCGATGCCTTCATTACTTTAAGGCTTTCTGGTTCATAAATCTTCACCTTTTTTGTATTGTTTACTTCGGCGTAGAAATGCTCGGGCAAAGTGTTAAGCTCAGCCGGCTAAATTTTCTATTTCATCAGTAATTTCCTTACCTACGCACCAATTCTTCCAAAAAGAGAGCCAAAAACCAGTGCTTTTCGCAGTGTTTTCGTTTTTAGAGCAGTTTTTCAGCTCCTCTACAGTTGTTTCGGTCACAAAAGTAAATGTGCTGGAATCGCCAACCATTGCGGTTTTTGCTCGAGACTGGTCCGGAGCGGATCCAAATTTTGCGCCATTTAGATCACGCATTTGATTGGCTCTCAGTGAGTTCCTTTGTTTATTAGCCAATCAGAATGTCACGTTTGTTACTCTTATCTGCACTCAATTACCTTTTTTCTGCACTGTGTTACCTAAAAACTGCATTCCTCATAGCCAATCACAATCGAGAAATTTTTTCATGTATATTATTAAGGCATGAATCACGTTTAAATGTGACTCAGTGCACCAAAAAATAAGATTTAAAGTCAAAGTTAAGAATGTCCAAAGACAATGACGAGAAAGTAAAGAGGGAAAAACTGTTGTTCAAACAAACTCTAAGGTCACGTTTCACATTATCACCAGCTTATGAGTCATGTTTGGCGTGTCAACACTTTATTTAAAAAAGTTGTTAAATCAGCATTTTTCCAAACCCAATTGAAAGCAATCCAAGAACATCCTTCCTCTTTAGCAAAAATTTAAGCATTTCTATATTTTTATACCTTGAAGATTTGCAATAAATGAAGAGCTTCTCGAAGAGCATCATCAAAATAACATGACTACGTGACAGCCAATTTTGTTCCAGACAAACATTCTAGAATTTCGCCACAACAATGTGTCGTCAGTTAACCAGTTGGAGCGCAACATTCATGTAGTGAATGTGAGAAGAGCAAGAATAATGGACTGGTAACAGGCACTTTATTTTTTCTCTTCCCCTAACCTCCTGCTTCGTACTCGTCTTGTGCCTCGTACAAAATGCCGAATTTGCCTGGGCTGTGATTTCAGGCGATGCAATTTTTCTACTCATTTTACTCTGTTCAGCTTATTTGGATATACAAAAACTGTAGTTTGTAGCATGTCCTTCTCCCATGACATCTAATTAAATTATAGTTTTATAGTTTCTGTACAAGATTTTTCCCGGGTGGCACCTCAGGTTACATATACCTTATGTATAAGTCTCCCTCGCCCCCACTCCCACCACCCTCCCCTAACCCCTTTGCCCCTGTCTTAACAGTTAATTCTACTCTCATACTTTGAAAAGTCTTAATGAAAACTCTTCATAAACTGTGTTTATAAGAGTGAGTCATTTCAGTCCTTGGAAAATGTGCATTTATTGTCTGATTAATATTAACCAAGAAAAGAGCTCTGGGGCATACATGTTTCATAAATCTTCATGTCAGACAATTATAACAGCTTGAAAAATCTTCAACACCTTCACGTATGTTAAGAAAATCTTTAGACATCTTTGGATATGACCGGGACCTCTACAAAAGTTTCCTTCACTCTTGTCATCTTGAAAATCTCATGCCTTTGATCAAAATAATGTTGGTAGGGTTATGTTTTAGTTAAAAGTTTTCTTTATGTATCGGCCATTCAAATGCCCCATCCTAGGTCCAATTTAGCAGTGATTTTCAGAAGCTCCAGCCCCCAAAATTCACCATTAAGTTGACACATTAGTACTGGTTCTCACAATAACATTTTGGGGTGGGATAATAATGACAAGTAGTATTTGTTTCCAAACACTTGTGTGATAAAAGTAGACATAATATAGATGAAAAAAAAAAGGTAAACATGAGTAAAATATAATAAAATTGCAATGGCTAAAATTATTTTCCTTTTTGCTCAAAATACGCTAAAATGCACTGTTTGTGGGGTTCCCAAATTAAATATCCCGAGGAAAGTCCCTGGACTACACGAATGGAAGAGGGGCAACATTCATCCCATGCCTGCCCCAGCCTATACTCTTACTTTGAGCACTTTGGCCAAGAACATTAACATAATTATTATATAGGAGTAATGTCCCTTATTGCAGTGTATTTTGTTCTTTTTAGGCTGCTTCAGCTGTAAGGAAGTATCCTTTACCTCTGCGTTGTGGAAAGGATGCAATGATTCTTGATAATATTGGTAAGAGCTTAAAAAGTTGTATTAAGGGTGACACAAGTTTAATGTTAAGAGCATAAGGCAGATTGATTCTAAGCCTTCAGTTGAAGATGTGGGAAGCAGAAAAAGTTTCTTTACCTGACGCTACCTATTGTCCATATTTACGTTGTGAGGTGCCAGTCTGATATCCTTATGTTTCAGAGAATGCAACAAAGTCCACAGAGTCATATCCATTGGTTTTAGTTAAATTTAAACATAATGTTAAACAGCAACTGAAAGCATGACGTATTCTGCAGTGCAGGGTTTGAAATTAAGAACAAGCAGTTCAAGGTTGCTTCTGCCCAAATCTTGCTGTCATGGTCATTATCACCATCTGATCGATCTACTGTTGACCTACCATAGGTTCTTGTAATAATACAATGTGGTCCATTGTTTTGATAATTGCAAATTATATATTATTATCACTGACTTTTACTTGCAGTGGAAGGTGTGGGTGCAAGGGTTGGAGAAACTTACATGAGCTTTTATTAAAATAGTCACACCTGCATGTCTGCACATGAACCTGCAAATATTACTCTCTGAAACATTGCTCTGTTCATTTTTTATGAACTTAAGATAGTGTAAGTGATATGGCAACACTTCCTTAAAAATTTCTCTAACTGGTGTTTGTCAACCCTGCTTTCCTGTAATTGACTGGAAAAGTTCTTACCTAGTCTTTCTGTCAGTAGTAAATCTTTTCATGAGATCGGCAGAAAAAATGTTTACAGTCCTGGATATTGTTTTGTTTTGACTTCACAGGTGAGATGGTTGCTCGCAGGCTTGATGAAGCTATGGCAAAGTATAATGCCAGTAATCAACAAGGTGCATTGAGGGATATTTCTCTGGCATAAATTAACAAATCTATCAAATGCTGTCTCCATTGTCTCTAACATTAAAGTTCCAAAGCA